GCAGGAATCTGATCCCCCCCGCCCTTACTGTATCTGTTCTGCTACTCACACTGCATTGGATCACCTACAGCCATGAAGTTCAGACTGAGAACGCTTTCCCTAACCCTAAATTTAAAAAAATACTTTATTATAATAACACACTAGAGATGAAGATTGTTCTCATGAAGGGAATGTGGGCCATAGACTTCCCCCTCCTCCTGCTCGCCTTCATTTCTCATTTGTACCGCAATTTTGGTGAGCCATGACTCAGTCCTCTTGGTAACAAGCCCACAGTTAGATCCCAGGGAAGTGAATGCGGATTTTCAAATGGCAGCGTCATTCTCTAGCACAAGCAGTGAACGTTGTCGCAAGCTTCGTTTGGAAAGTGCAGCTCCGCTGCTTATTTCCTTCTTCATCTCAGCATGTTGATACTACATTTACTCAGAGAAGTTCCTTTGGCAGGAGCCAGATCTAAGAGCAACCCAAATAGGCCCAAACAAACCAGGGCCTGGCCTGGTTCACTGTGTTGGGATGTTGTAACAACGTTGATCTCTTTATTAGTTGTCTTTTCCTGCCACCTTGTGGTGGTACAGGGAATTCTTCACATTAAATAATTGCAGACATTTTCCACACGTCTGAGCTCAGCCTTTGGAAATCAGTAATAAATCTGTTACTTTCAAAGAAAATAGGAACAATTTTGCCAAGTGTAACAGCCTCATAAAAGGGAAATAGTGAGGTCACTCTTGCTGCCATTAAGATTTTCCAAATTTTATTTGATATACTTATTTTATTGTTCTCATTCCTTCTCTCATTGTTTTCCCTAGTAGCTGGTCTCATACGATTGAGGGAAAGCTCACTGTAATAGCTATTTCTCTGCCACTTTTGCTCCTACTATTTTTTACTGTATTAAAAAATGTTAGTCTGGAATGGAATAATCTGGACTGAAACAGTGTACCATAATGATTTCAGATTCTGCTTTTGAAGAAAAGAAGCATATAAGTTTGAGTGCTTCTGTGAATGTATTTACTGACTTCAGATTTGTGCAGTAAATCAAACTGTTACTACAATGCCTTGGAATATATGCATATGTTAACCATTGGGTATGGGTATGGCTCACATGAGCAAATCTCCAAAACAAGAAAATACAGGCTTTCTTTTCAGATGACCCAAGCTGCCTGACATGTAAATTTCAGTTTGAAATCTCTCTCTCTCATTCTCTTTTCACATGCAATGGCATCTTTCAAAACACATCCCTGGCAGTTTATTGTATTGCTGTGTACATGCAGTTAGGCTACCAAATCTATCCATCCTGAATTCTGGATGTGTGTAAAACTGAGCTGAGTTTGGCAGTTCAGACTTTTTCCTTGAATTTGTTCAGCATTACAGCTTTTCTTCCAAGATGGCTGCTTGGCGGAATCCTCTGGTAACTCAGGCCCCAATTAAAATCTAGCGGTTGGCTTTTCTGGTACTTCCTATTGCAGAGCTGCTACCTTTCATCTTCAAAAGTTGTATCATTGAAATTGGAGTGCCGCTATGCTTTCTGTGGCACGTCTTGTGGGCTATCAATGGCTACCAGTCAGAAGGCTATGTAGTATCACCATTATCAGAGGCAGGGTGCCCTGGATGGCAGTTGTGGGAAACAACAGTGAGAGGGAAATATTACACTCGTGTCCTTCTTGTGGGCCTCCGGCAGGGACTTGGTTGGCCACTGTGTGAACACAGTGCTGGAATGCATCAGCCTTCGTTCCGATTCCGCATGCCTCTCCTCCCGTTCCCATGTGCAGGGTAGAGTTGATGGACAGGAGGTAGGTTTGGATCTATGGGCAGATCGCTGCATGATTTGTAATAGAACCAGGATGGTTAGGCATCTTGTGGATGACTCTTTTGGAGAACTGGCAGGGGCAGTCCTCTATTTGAAGATGGCCTTTAATGATGGGTTGCCCAGTCTAAGTTTTAAAAACCCATAAGAAGCAGAAGCAGGTGAGCTAACACCTGGTAGCTTCAGGAGTCACCTTGTCATAATTTCCCCTCTACGGTGTGGCATACTGTGTTTCCATTTAAATGTCAGTGATTATTTCTAAATTGTCTCTATACTGATAAAAGGAACACAGGCAAGTTTTATGCAAACCTGCATCTTCTTTTGTTGCCTTTTTTGGCTATCCTGAGTAGATCATCAAGGATAGCCCACTTGCAGTCACTTGACAGGGGCAGTGACAAAATAAGTCCTGTCTGGACCTTAAATAATATTGCTGAAATGAAGACATTAGGAGTGGGATTTTTATGTGGAAGGACTATGAGCTTGACCCAGTTCTGGCACTCCGAACAAATTCCTGGGCTCAGCATTCTTTAGTTCGTGTGTCTTTTGCACTGGGCTGTGATTGAGGAGTCTGGAGAACTGGAAGACACAGGTTCAGAGGTCTCTTTCCCTTCTGAGAAATACATGGGCTGATGTAGTCACAGGCTGGGATTCAAAGGCATGAGCCAAGTAATCCAGGCCAGCCTGGTAGGCCTGTGTTCTGGTGGCAAGCTCTATATATAGAACAAAGAGGGTACTATTATACAGTTCTGAAAATGGCGGTCACACCCTGTTGCGCTGGTTCAGTATGCAACATCTTGGCATGGCAAGGGAAGAGCTGACCTGGTGGTGCAGAAGGAAACGTGTAGCTGGGCAGTGTTAGTCCTGGTGTGTGGGATGTGTCTCTTCGTGGTTTGTTTGAAGAAAAGGTGGAGGGCCTTTCTAACTCAGAAGCCCGTTCTCCTTTTCTGAACAACTTGTCCCCTAATGTGGGTAATACATAAAGCATCATGTAGGTCCATGTGCTAAGCATGTGGGAGGTGGGTATGGGAAACTTTTTAAATATATGAGACAGTGCATAAGAGGAAGTGGGAAGCAGGAAAGCTTTGCAAGGCAGCATTCTCACTATTCTAAGGGGATAATTTGCAGCAGTTGATTTCACGCTGGTAACATTTCTTCCCAAGATCAAGAACCACAGTTACCTATCTAGTTGGTCCTATCCAAGTTTAGACTTACTGACATCATATTCAACATTCATTGAAATGTCATTCATTTCAATAGGACTAGTCAGAATAGAACTAACATGGGCTACAATCCTATGTTGTTATATCAACTCAGGTTAGGTAGTGAAGGCCAGTTAATCAAGTCAGAAAATCAGTTTTTATTCCATAAGCTAAAGGGTGAGTGAAGGTTACACTGGTTTCATTTCCCACTTGACAATGGCAAAATTACTTCTGGGTTACACATTTTAAATTCTCATCCCTCCCCCATCTCTTTCTTCATCCAGCCTGATGGAAACATTAGATGTGGCTCAGGGTTCCTTTGAATGTTATTCCAACAGGAAGAAGATGGGAGTTGGACCTTACAGTTTTGCGTCCAACTCTCCTGTTCTTCTCCTGGATTAACAGAGAAGTAAATGCCTGCACCAGAAGATCATGCCCTTTTGTGAAGTGAGGGGCTCTTCTCTGAAAGGATGCTACAAAAGGTTTTTTTTCTGTAATCTTGTGCAAGTTTAGAGGCAACATCTGGCATGGCTCAACCAGCCCTATTCTTGTGCTGTAGTAGTCATTGCTACACAGTCCATTGCCTCTTATTGATGGTGGCCTGGAGCATGCTGGGAATTGTCAGTCTTTTTACTGTCTAAACCTGCATAGAATTACTCCCTAAAGAGGAGTTACTGTCCCACTGCTGGAGAAGAATGTTCCAACCACAAATTGGTCTCTTGGTCTGTGTGTTCCCTTCTTGTTGGAGATGGCCAATAAGTTTTAAGTCCTTTCCAATTTCTCTTCCCCCCAACCTTTCTTGCTGCTCCAGGCAGCAGGAGGGGCCTCTATTTGAACAATTTCCCCCACAGAAGCAATGGGGCGGCGCTCCTCTTTTGGTTGTCCCTGGTGTCATATTAGCTGTTTCCCAACAATTCTTTGCTTTATGAGGGAGAGATAGAACCTGAGGGACATGTTTGGAAGAGGCTCTGGACTCAGCTATAGCAGGCTGCTGCTTTGTGGGGAAAACTTTTTACAGGTAGGGTTTTTTGGGGATGGGAGGCTGCAACCAAGGCAGTGGCAGTCCTACCCTGTGTGAAACTGCCTCTGGTCTCACCCTAATGCCAAGCTCTCCAGGAACTGGACACCAGGGAGTAGGTGTTGGCCAGTGCCTAGGATTGGCACCAGTGTCACCTTGCCAGGGTATTTTTCCATTGCAAGAAAGGGATGGCAGTCCTCTTAGGCTGTGGCTGGTGGCAGAGGGCTGGGGCAATGACAGGAAGGTCACTCTGTCTAGCTCAGCCCACCCTCTGAGATGTGATCCAAGAGGGGTCCCCTTGGATCATGGGTCAGTTGCCCTTGCATCCTGTGGAAAGAAGATCAGGTGTGAGGAATGAACGAGGGCAATTCTCATTCTTTCCCAAAGGAAAAATCATGTTCGTAGAATCTACAAAATTCAGAGTGTGCCACTTCTTTTGGGCTGTATTCATAAAGTACTACAGGTGCAAGCCTTTGTGTGAACAACTGCCCAGTGTCCTTTTGACTCAGCCCAATGGGAACTGAGCCAAAAGAGGGTCGAAGTGTTGGCGGTTGTTGTTCACGGAATATGCGAGTATTGCAATTTCACCTGCTGAATTTCCTTCATCCATCAAAGCTCATCTGAAGTGACTAGATTTTGTTTCCAGCTTTGCAATGACTTCTTTGCACCTCTTGCTGCTACTGTCTTGCTGTCAAAGCGGGAGGGTGGGGATGTCTGTAGTGCAGGACTACTCCATGCCAGTTCTACCCTGCTGCCCGGGCGGAGAGTAGCTTCACGGTGCCGTTTGTGTGCTTTCTGACTTCTAGCTGCTGTCCCGGCTGCAAACTGCAGTGCTGTGGAGCAGGTTCTTTTGGACCCTTGGGTCAAAGACACTGTGAAGAAGGGTTCTGACCTGTGGGGAGTTTTCCTTGCGTTGCAAGCTTTTCCTCACCTACAATCCTGTGAAATGCTTTACATGGCTGTCGGTCCTTTTTCTCCCACCTAGAAACAGAAGATGACGAGATAGCCTGCACCCACAACGGTCAGATGTATCTGAACAGAGATATATGGAAACCTTCCGCCTGCCAGATCTGCGTCTGTGACAATGGAGCCACTCTTTGTGATGAGATCCAGTGTCTTGACATGTTGGAATGTGAAAACCCGCGGGCGCCCCCTGGAGAATGTTGTCCTGTGTGCCCACACACCCCCCGGAATGATTTTGAAAATACTGCTGGTAAGATGGCTTCAAAACTGTCAAGAAATAGGCTGCAATAGCCCTGCTTGGGGTTACACAGTAAGTTCTGAGAGAGGAACCCTCGTGCACTGCCACCACCACACGTACGGCATAATTAGCGACGCAGCTGACATGATGAGTCATGCGGTCTTTCCCCTCCAGAAAGGAGGAGACGGAATGGATGGAGAAATCAGCCCCTGCCAGTTTCTCACATCCCCACACAGCAATCCACTCCATCATGTTTCTGCGTTAACCCGTGGCTTTAAAAACTCCATACAAAAAAGTAGCATTTAACTCTGGATTTTAAAGCCCTTTTCCCAACTCAAATGCCAGTTTCTAACTGTATTATGCTGATGAACATATTTTAAAATTGATTTGGGAGGGATGCATCCATCTATGATCCTTGCCAGTTTCTCATGTGCTCTTTCGCTGGTGCATTCCAGCCCATTTTCTGTGGTTTAACCAATCAACAGAGCAAAACAAAAACACAAAAAATTAAAAAACCAGAAAAATTAGCACTGAAGTGGTACTTATCCTCTAGAATATGTATTTTTGGGTGCATTTTCCAAGACAAATATGAAGTGTGCATCTTGAAGGATAACTAAGTTCTAACCCACACCTTAATCTGGAAACTGACAGCTAAGTTTTAAATATATTTTAATGCTTTTTATGATCTGACAACTGCATCAGAATATCCAGGACATTTACAAGTCAGTGGGTAACTAATTTCTAACTGAGGTTATAGCTCAGGTGTGATCATACTGGAATCTGAAATTTTGAATTCCTTAAACCAGGTTTAGGTTATGTGAGAAGTTGGGGAGAAGTATCTGGCTCCATAACTCAATGTTGGTTTAAATGAGAAACTGAGTGAGGTCATACCTGACAGATTTGTGCATCTGTATTCTAGGTGGACCAACAGGCCGGCTCAATAGGCAGTATATGTTTCTAACTGCATATTGAGTATATGTGGTCGAGCTATGCATACCATTTATGCTCTAGGGACAGCAGAAGGACACAGAGGCAAGGACTGACTTTTCACTCCACTTGCCCTGCAGAACGCATAGATGGCTGATTTCAGCGGTTGAAGTGTTTTACAGCAGTTCACAAATAGAGGGGCTGGAAGCACCACCAAGATTCCTCGTAGGACACCAGTGCCCCATTCCTTCCCTCTCCGAGCCCCTGATCCCCGCTCCAAGCTGGCTCTGAGCTTGGCTTTCCATCTTGAACTGCAGTTGGTGTGGGAAGAACTGCGCCAACTCTGAGGGCCGAGGAAGGGTGCTATAAAGTGTTACAGCTGCCCAGAAAACACCTGAGAACTCCCCTGACTTAATCAGATAATCTCTTTGGAAACAAATCTGTTATTTAGACAGAACGTTAAAGTACTGTGCTTCTGTTTCCCTTCTCCCACCCGCTAATCTGCAAAGGTGCCAGTGTATGCGTAGACTGAGCTGGACTGAGAAAATAGGTTCTTTTTCCCCATTTGACACACAATCTTCCCCATACATGTCAACAATTGATCAGTCAAACTAAACCAATCAGTACTTTTTCCATAAAATTCAACACACATAATTTCAGTGTTTTCAAAAAAGGGAAGGTCTGTTCAACTTTAAAATTGCTGTTTGGTGATATAGTTAATTTCCGCTGGAAGTCCAGAGAAACATAAACTGGGATTACCACTAATTGCAAAAGAAGGAGTCTATAGTGGGAGGAAATCCCTGACATTCCTTAATACTGGAAGCAAGCCAGACCACAGTTACAGCTCAATTCTTTTCATGTCTGCTTGGGTGAAAATCCCATTGAATTCAATGGGGCTTACTGCTAGGTAAGTCCATAGAGGAGTAAAGCTTGAGCTTGTTTGGAATGTGCTAGATAGCATCTATCATGCCCTGAAAAATTTCACTCCAGAGTATTGTGGTGACTGGAAATATATTCTAATAAATTTGAAAAAGAGTGATTTGTCGTTTAGATTAGTGTTGATGACTTGGCATATGAATCACGGGTGTCGAGTTGGTTGCTGTCTAATTAAGCAATAAGACCAGACATGACATGCTATAATAAGCAGAGTGTACATGTCTGGAGTGCATTTAGGTGTTTTCAGGCCAAAGGCTGAATATTTCACTCACTCACCAAAGTGGAAAAAAACAGTGTTGAAACTGTAGAGTCTGCATATCCTTAACTGCATTAGCCTTATGTTCTGGCTCAGGATGAAATTTGTATTAGAGTTTGAATTCACAGTGGTGCATTTGCAAAAAAATAATAATAGCAAGCACATGTTGGAAGTGCTTGATGAGAAACACTTATCTGGTCAGCTCTAGCTGTTGTGAAGTCAAATAAAATGATGACAGAAGGCATTATTTCTTTATTATTCTTTCTTGCTGGGAGACTTCTGATTCCGTGTAAGGAAGAGCCCATTAAGTTTAAATACCTAAAGGCAAAATATTGGTGCTGAAGCAGGGTTTCAAAGGCAAGTAAATAGGAGATAAACTACACAATCCCATGCAGGAGGAGAGGAATTCATCTGTGAAATGAATAGAATAAAATTGTGCATTCCTAAAATGTGACACATCTCTCCCACGTCGTAAATTAAGCAATTTCCCAGTTCCATGCATTGCTCCTCTCCTACTTTGCTACTCTGTTCCCTTCCTTCTTGGCCGCTGCATTTTTTCCTTTCTTCATGGCAAACTAATATTCCATGCTTCTCAGGTTTTGTGTGGGGGTTTTCTGCAGTTTCCCTTGTCTAATCTCTTCCTCTCCTCCTTCAAGCCTCATTCATACGTAACAGTGGATAGCCTGAAAGGCCTGATCCTGCCTAATTTTGGAAGCTAGGCAGGGCCAGGCCAGGTCAGAATCTGAATGGGAGACTTGAGCAGGAGGTTGGACCCGATGACCTTCTAGGCCCCTTCCAACTGTATGAATCATAAGAAGAGCCCTTCTGGGTCAGACTGAAGGCTTCCCTAGTCCAGTTTGCTCCTCCCACTATGGCCAGTTAGATGCATATTGGAAGCCCTCCAGCATGACATGACTTTAATGGCAGTCTCCCACGAACATTCCCTGCAAACTGTCTCTGAAGTCGGAGATAATATTTGGCTATGTCTAATATGAATTCTCCATTTCCTCAGGCTTAGATTTCTCCCAAACATTTCCACCCTCAGGTCTTTACTTGCTTGTCCTTCCTTGCTTCCTTCGGCTAATCTGTTGCTTAAACCAGTTCCCCATCCTAGTCTCCTGTCCATGTTCTTTCTTTCCCTGTCAGTAGCAGCTAGCCAAGGGAGGGTCAGAATGTCACTCATATTACAGGAATGTGTAGGATGCTGTAAATGGTGAAGCTGAGGCACACCCTGGTACCAAAGGACATACAGGAATCCCCCCCCCTCTCTCTCTCTCCCCCACACCCACACCCACACCCACACCCACACCCACAAGCTCCTCTAGCCAGTTTGTCTGATGACCATTCCTTCAAACATCAAAGATACCAGTTAATCATGTGTAGCTTGTAACTTGTGATGACTCCGTGAGGATGGAAATTACTGTGTATTTTCTGGAGAGCTGAGAAGCCGTTTGTATTAATGTATTTTGTTTTATTTTTTTTTCAGCCAGAGGACAGAAGGTAAGCTTTAAAAAAAATAAATTAGTCCTCTCTATTAATAAAATAGCATAAATAATTGCATAAATATGCTTCTGTCCTTTATTGAGTCTGATGACAAAACATTGAGAGGATAATTGAAAGAAACTTCAAGGTCCTGTAAATACCAGTTCTCTTAAAAATGCCTTAACAAGCAAGAGCAAACATCTTTGGCAGAATCTTCTAGCTTCAGGTAGTTAATAAAGATGGCTTGGAAAGCCAAGAAGAGGTGAGATAAAGGCTAAGTGTACTGGAGGCTATTGCAACAAGGGGCCAGGACTAGATGGGAGGACTTTTGCTTGCTTGCTTTGTAAGCACATCAGGAAGCCAAGCCACACAAGAAGAAGTTGTTGCAATTGCCAGAAGCATGAGGAAGCACCCCATCTATCACAGCTAGTTGATTATTACATTTATACCCCACCCTTCGATGAGTGTTTCGAGGACAGCTAAGAATGACTGCAACCATCAGTTTTTCTACACAAGGAGTGTATTGCATGCTCATCATCCATTATCCTTGGCTGCTTAGGGGTGATTTAGATGTTACCATGACCCTCCGGTTTTGTCTGTTTTTTTAAAAAGCACTTTCTCTGTATTTGTTTTAGAGTGGTACAAATGGAGGATTGTTTGAAAAAGCAAAAGAAAACATATCTCCCTGCTTGTGTCATTGTGTTATTCCACCATAACACAGGGCTGCTTGGAGGTTAGATCATGCAGCAGAACAGCAAGAAAGGAAAAGTGCTTTGTGGGGAGCTCAGATCTCAATTCGGCAATGAAGCGGAAAGAAGATATGGTGGAATAACAGCCTTGTGTGGAAAAGCTCTGATAGTACATCTCAAAGGGGGATAGTTTTCCTATATTGTGTGCTTGCATGTGGCACGCAGATCGCCTGCTGCATCCCTTTTCAAGGGGAAAAAGCCAGAAACCAGAAAGGCCCCAAAAGGTACACCCTTCCCCTGCCATCAAGTTACCCGCAGAACATATTTATGATCGAGATATAAGAAGTTGACCTGCAGCAGCCAAATGGTCCTTGTGCTAATTTAGCGCTATCTGGTTTTCTAACCATGTGATGAGAAGACTGTTCGTTTTCTGTTGTGTAATCATGTCTTCATATGCTTCGTTTGTTTCATATGTAATTTGAAATGCACTTTCTTAGAAAAAAAAAATCAATGATTTTCCACTCTCCAGAAATAACTTTTTTTCTACCCTGCAGGGTCAAAAAGGGGAACCTGGAATTGTGCCAATGGTAAGGTCTTGTTTTATTTGCATTTTGCCAAACATGAAAAAGATCATTTTCAGAGAAAACAGGAGTCTTGCAGCTCCTTTATGTCTGGCACATGTGCTATGGCACAAGCTTTTGAGGACTGGGTTCCATTTTGCCAGATGCAGGTTATGTTGAGTTACAGGTGGGTGGGTAGTGGGAACTGTATACCGTGAGGTTAGAGGGAAATGGAATGCAGGATGTAGCAAGACTGATAATTATCTTATGAGCTGTGGCCATTCACCAAACAGTGTACAATTATCATGTAACAGTATGGAAGTTTGTTTGGATTGGATCCGATGGTGTCATTCTGGAGACTTGATAATGGGTGGTTTTTCTCTATCAGAGAAACCTTAAAATCTACATTGGAGGGCTTGGAAATCCAATAGAACAGATTTTCTGGTGGCTTGGAGGACTGGGGTGGGTTTGAGAGGGAGAAAGTCCTTTTGTGCGAGTGTGACAGTAGAAGTTTTAACCTTAAGATTTTCACCAGTTAAGGAGAACAGGCTATGAGGAATGCTCATTGATGATTGATTGAAAATAAGAGTCATGCTTTTATAGATTTGTTAAGAAGAAATTTGGAAAAGTGGAAAAAAATCTTCTGCAGATGCTTTGGAAGACAGAGTAAATGAGTTTTAACTTAGCTACTGCTCCACTGTTACAGGAACTGAACCCTGCCCTCAAGTCCCTGCTACTCCTGTGAGGAGATGGGGTGGTTGAACATATCAGTAATTCCATACTTGTGGTAGAATAGTTCCACCATTTCTCCAGAGATGCATTTCAGGGCTGTTTCAAATCGCTGGCAAGCCTGGATTCGTGATCTCAGAGCGTACTGTCAGTCGCAACTCATTTAGGTTCTTTCACAACCGTACCTGTGTGAGAAGTGCTTGAATGCCCCCTTGCCACATTCTCGGTTTGCATTTTCAGCTTGCACAGAAAAGTGTAAAGTGTTCATTTAAAATATCCTTACTGTTCACCCCCAAAAGAGAGTAATGCACAATGTTCTCGTGCGGAAGAGTGCAAGACCCTGACAGCCTCCTCCAGCTGTTGTGCAGGGGTTACACAGGTATCAAGAATTGACAGATGGAGTGAGGATAGGACAAAGAAGGGCTGGGCTCATTGGGCATCTCTCTGCCCAAGTCTGGGCGCCATTGCCATTCTCTTCCTTGCTTCCAGTGCTGCTCACTTGCCCTCATTGAGTAGGCAAGCAGCGGCAGAAGCAAGGGGGAGGAGCGGCAGGTCACTGGGACACCTGCCTCCTTGGGTGGTGCAGTTCAGGCCACGCAAGACGTGGCAGGCAGAAGGACAGTAGTGCCAATCAGGGGGATGCAGAGGGTGATGCTCCTTTTGCCCGAGAGACTCCCCAATCTGCCGCCAGCCCCAACTCGTTTGTGGGTAGCGCCAGGCCTGCCCGTGCGTCATCGAAGAACCGCCACAGGTTTTCACAAATATAGAATAGGAACTGTCCATTTTTCTGCTTTGGTTTCTCCATGACAATATGTGGAAATGCTAATGGAAACTGCCATAATTGTTCTTAATGACCAAGACCCAAAGTTCTTGACCTTAATCGCAATCGTGTGCACATTAGCTGATGTGCTATTGATGCTTACCTATTCTTTTTGTATAGGTTACGGGTATAAGAGGACGGCCTGGACCAGCTGTAAGTAAAGACTACTTGTAGCTATGTCAAAGGATGCTGAATATGCCCCCACATTTTTGTGACACCTTTAGTTTCTCTTTTGCAAATTGGCATATAACAGGCATGTCCTTCTTTTGCTGGGCAACTACACCGATGCCTTCCTTTCCCAGTTGCTTATTGCATCCTTCTTCAGCTGCACGGTGAGCACCCAGATCACATCTTTTAGCCATATGATCACTGCTGGCCGCTTGGCATAAGGTCTTTCGTTTAACCTCCTCTGCTTGCCATTATTTCTTCTTCTTCCTTGTATATTATACTCAGAAAGGCTTGACTATTTTCTGTGCTTTTTCTTGTGGCTTGGTCGACCTGTGATGCCACACATGTGAATTTAGCCTTGCAAGTCTGTGTGCCTGTTTGCATTTGAGAAATACCAGGGGGAAGAAAGGTGGGGCGTTGCAGCAGGAAAGTGGCAGGTGAGGAAGAGTTAAGCACCTTCTTCTTGGCCCAAGCCTCTGTGCCCACATTTCCCCTTCCCAAAGTGGCTGTTCCCTAACGAAAGCTGCCTTCTAGCTCTCATCGCATGCATTTGTGTATAACAGTGCCACCCTGAGTTGATGTTGGTTTCTAATGGGCAATCCTATATCCAGAGTTAGGCTTCGCTATCCCTGCACAAAATAGAATGCTGGAAGACTGCTCTAAATGCTGAATTTTCTAGTCCCCGGAATAAAGGAACTTTTCCCCCAAAGTAACTATCTAGTGTATTGGTCCATGAAGAGTCATATACTTCAGCACACAGATGTGTTCTACAGTTTTGGAAACAAATCATTTTAGGGTGCTGGCATTTTTCCCTGATCTCATGCTGAAATGGGGTTTCAGGGAGGTCGTATATCAAAACCCATTTTACTGTTATTTATATTTTATATTGTTTTTATTGTATTTTGTCAATGTTTGTACTATGCCCAGAGAGCTTCAGCTATTGTGCAGTACAGAAATAAAGAAAGAATCCCAAGGAGATTTTTTAAAATCTCATTTTAAAAAATGAGGACAAGCCATAATTCAGCCTTCCCCCACCTACTGCTCTTCAGATGTTTTGGGCTTTAACTCCTTTCAGTCTTATTCTGTGTTGGCAAGGATCAGGAATGCTGGGAGTTGTAGTCCAAATTCTCTGCAGGGCACCAGGTCAGATACACTGCCATAGCTTATGGTGGTGGCTTCCCATATCATCTCCTTTCCTAAAGAACTACCGCCGAACTGTCATGCAGAACAGAAGCCTTTGGAGCATCTTCTAGGACAGGAGTGGGCAGAAAATAGATTTCCAAGTGTTTTAGACTTCAACTCCCAGCATTGCTGACCATTGACCATACAAAGACAACTGGAAGTTGAGTCCAACATATCTGGAGGTGCATCTTTTGACTGTCCCTTTTCTACAACACACTATTAGTTCATGCACAGGCCAGACTTGCTGGAATTCATTGCTGTCCTGCATATAGATAAACAGACTTTTATTTGACATTTAATTTCCGAATCATGCTCCCATCATTGTATTCATGTCAGAACCCAGTGAATATCCATAACTGTTTTCGCATTGTTTCAGGGACCTCCAGGGTCGCAGGGACCAAGAGGAGCTCGAGGTCCAAAGGGAAGACCTGTAAGTGGTTGAATGTTCTTTCGGCAACCTTACTTGATGGATTGTCAGGTGCTCCTCACTTCTTTGAGGGGTGAGAAATTCTAGGGATAGCGCTGGTAGGTTTGACTTGCCTTGGGGATGGTCCTTTACTCACGGCTCATGCCTTCTTTGGTTTGCCATGTTTGGTTTGTTTACAAATATAAACATAGAGCATAGGTGGAGGCAAGCCAATCAGCACTAGCAGACAGGAAATCTGATGGCCATACCAGATCCCAAGGGAAAGGTACTTGTGCCCCCCAAGGCACCTTCCAACTGCACGCGCTCTCTCTCTCTCTCTCTCTCTCTCTCTCTCTCTCTCTCTCTCTCTCATTCATTCCCCCACCCCCAGCTGTCTCCCAACTGTGTGTTTTTGTCACACACCCAGTTTAGCTGCCTAATAGAATGGGGAAGCATGAGTCATTTCTCCCAAATAGCTTTCATTCCAAGGATTATCAAGAGACCATCCTCCAACAATTCGTTCCCATAAAGAAACATCTGCTCCCATCCTGGGCAGTTTCCCTGAAGTTTCCCCAACAAAAAATACATCTGGCACCACTTTGCCCATACTAAGAACACTATAGGTAGTGCTTTATTTATTTATTATAAACTATGTGTAGACCACCCTTTATCTAAAGCTGAATTCCAGGGTGGTATACCAATATAAAAGTTCTAATCAGTGACATGATGCTTTATTAATTAAGCATTATTATTCATAATACTGTGTAACAGCAGACTTAAGAGTCAGTCAACAAAACTATTCAGACACCTTTTGAGCTGGTACCAAAACCAGTAAAATGTCTGTGCTGGTCAGATCTGTTTTTGGGAGGGTATTCTGGAGTTGGGGCACCACCCCAGAAAAGGCTCTCTTTTTTGGTGACCACATAATGCTCTTCTGCTGCAAGTCGAACCTGGAAAAGCTCCAAGCTGACCCTTGTAATGTACAGGAGCTTCCCCTGCACATATTTGGATCGCAAGCTTGGATCCTTAGCACCAACACCTTGAACTGGGCTTGGAAATGAATCGGCAGCCAGTGTCCTTCTTTTAGAGTTCGTATCACATGGGCTACACCTAGAGAAACCAGTCAGAATTCCAGTGGCTGAATTCTGCACTAGTTGAAGCCTTTGCAGCATCTTCAAGGGCAGCTCCATTCTTGATGGACTGCACTGATTGCAGGAACGCCCCCTGGGAGTTACAGGGCATGGGTCATGGGATCAGTCAGCCCTCCAAAGCACCTTGGAGGCTGCACATTGGAGGGGCTGTCACTGTTTGGCTTGTGTTTCTTTTTAGATTGCTCTTCAAATATTAAAATATGTATCTAGATGGGCTTGTGAGGGCCCATATTGGGAAGTCTCACCAGGCCAATGTTCTGTGGGGTCCCTGCAGTTCAGGTGAAGCAACCCTGGACATTGATCCAGAGAGTTTCTAAACAGGTTTATTTCCAATTTGTTTTCCCCTGACTACAGTCAGAAGGCAAGCAAAATTCCAAGTGCCCTTTAAACATGAAAGGGGGTAGGTGCCCTTCTTTCCCCTTTCGCAGTGAGACACTTGGGGGTTTGACTGTCTCCCCATAGATCCCTTTGCCTCCACTCTTCCACTCATTCCCAAGGCTCTAAGTGCTTAGGAAGGTGAAGTTCACCCCACCCCTTTTCACTGACACTTGTTTCTGGCAACCATCAAAAGTAGGACCCCCCCCCCCAAAAAAAAATGGATTTAGGCAGGGCAAACAAGTAGTTTGGGCAGGGAAATATACAGATTTCATATATACATTGCTGTCTAAATATTCCTAAGGGAGCCCATTCTGCCAATAGTTTTTGTTCCAGACAACTCCTTTAACAATCTAAATTTCTCTGTAATAGAACAAGAGTGTACTGAATCTCAAAGGGAGTTAAACATCCACTTACACAATGCGTTTTGTTGAGGTTTTCAATAAGATGAGTCTTAAGGGACATAACTGGGCTGGCCTGAAGTGCTTGCTCCTGCCTAATCTTGGAAGCTAAGTAGGGTCAGACTGGGTTGAAATCAGGATGGGTGACTTGAGTCCTGCATTGAGCAGGGGGTTGAACCCAATGGCCTGCTAGGCCGCTTCCAACTGCATGATTCTGCGATAATGAGGTGCCTTTTTACCTATAAGTTAGTCATGGAAAAATTTCCCATCAAAATAATTCATTGCACGGGTACTATAAATTGCAATCCTGCTGTGCCAAAATCATGTTTTGCATGGATCTTAGTGGGAGTAGGAGATTGCCCTTTGCCAGTGAAGCAGTGCAAGGCAATAATGTCGATCTCCTGCATCATGATTAGTCTGTTCCTCAGACAGAAAATAGGGAATGGCATGGCATGGCAAGTTGTCTGGAGGAAGGGGACAGAGGAGGCTGAGGAGAGCGTGGGAGAGGGAGACTGGAGGAAAAGAGCAGTGGCTTTAAGGAACTTGAGCAGGAAGGTGTTAATAAGTACAAAGACTCTGAAGAAATCTCTGTTCCATGGTAGTTCTGGTTGGTTCCAGTTTGCCCACGGACACCTCATTTTTGTTCACCAGTCTCTTTGCTCACCTGATTGTTCATTTTATTGCATAATATTTTTAAAATTACTGTTTTAACTGGGAGTTTGGAATGAATGGCTGCCCTTTGTCCTTCGGAGCTCAGACTCTGCCTCTGCCATGTACGTGGATTCTTGGAAAGTCACTCTTTTAGTCTCACCCGTTTGCCTTCTGGAAAATGAGTAATTCGTGATTACCCAGGCACATCAAGGCAGCCATTTTATGAATGGGGAAGGCCCCAATGGGAATGCTTTTCTGAGAGTATACCCAACTCTCAAAAGCCCAGATGTGCTTACCGACTCCAAAAGGTGACTCATGGTCATGATATACTTTAAGCTCTGTGCTAGGAATGCTAGGGATGCTGGCTAATAAACAGGATGGTTAAAGCTAGTTGGGGTGTGTAATGGTATCTGAAAGGGTAGGTCCTGTGGAGAGGAGGAAATGGGGAACCAAAGACTAAGTGCAAGGGCAACGAAGGGCCCACTAGTACAAGGCAGAAACAAAGAAGGCGGGCAAGGGAGGCTCTGAGACTGAGTCTGAGGACCTCAAGCAAAGTGATATCGTCAAGTGAGCTGAGGTACACCAAGGCATTGCTCCTGCATTTTAATAGTTGAGTAGAAGAGGCAATTCCAGCAGTTGACATCTGGATACCCTAATAGAGGATTGCTAGGTCCAGAGCAGTGTGTGTGTGTGAGAGAGAGATAGAGACACACACACACTCTAACTTCTGACCTTCCAGATATTTGGGCATGCGGTTCCTGGCATCCCTTATCATTGGCTACACTAGCATGGGCTGATGGGAGTTCCAGCCAAAACATCTGGAGAGCCACAAGTTGACCACACCTAGTCTAGGGCCTAGAACTTGGCAGAGCAAAGTATAATATGTATAAGAGTTTCATAGAAAGGGATTTCTGCCAGTTTGGTAGCATTGAGAACTGGCAACTCTAAGAGAGTAAGAAGCAAAAGACAATGTGTATAGGAGCAAGCGTGTGTGTGTATGTACTGAATTTCATACATTGTCTTGAACTAACAACTGATTCCCTGGCACCAAATATATAGTAGTAACATAATGTTCTCAACACAATCGTAGGCATGGAGTTAATGAGAAAGTAACACAAGAAGAAAAACATGTTTTACTGCCATCTAGTGGCTCTCTTTAGGAACTACTTGCTCACAATGTGCAAGGCATTCTGGGAATAATTGACTTAAGGAGCATGGCCAACCTTTACCAAAGGCAGTCTTTTAAATCTCTTCTCTTTTGTTTCACGCCGCTGGCATGCCAAACTTTTGCAGCAGCATTGCTGCTGTTCGTCATGTTAAATCCACTGGTGTTTCTGGAAACCTAATTATGCAGATATCAGGCTTATCCATAGCACAGTATCTACTTTACATTTCTGAATACTACCACAATAAGGAGTTATGATGCAGTTTGCACTTCTGATAAGCTCTGCTAGAAAAACCTTGAGAGATAGAAGAATGTTTGGAGGATATCGGCAGCAAACTCTCTGGCTGGTAGGTAAAACCAAGTCAGAAGTGTGGAATATGGTTGCCCACGTCCTTCACCAAACCTCACCATTGGGTATAGTGGCTGAGGCTGATAGGAGCTGAAGTGTAATGCCATCTGAAGGTCCACCTGTTCCCCCTCCTATGCCCATATCTCTGAATATGATAGACACCTGTGGATGAGAGGGAACAGATTTGAACCCACTGACCAGATGCACAACCTCCATATACCAGAACCCCACACTGGGTTCCAGTCCTGCATAAAGGACCTCTCTTCAAGTTTTGTGCTGACCTTCTGAGGAATGTGCAGTGGTCAGAGGTGACGTTTCTTCCCCACGCTGACTATATCTTTGCATAAATAGGGTTTTGTGTGCTTTCCATATTCATCTGCAACTTGGCCAGTTTTTACTGTTTTTATTGGTTATTAATGTTATTTATTCAGTTTTATATTCCCAGAGAGCCCTATGGGCTACGGGGCAGTTTATAAATGAATAATTAATAAATAAAATAACACTCTACGTGGGGCTACCCTTGAAGACGGTCTGGATACTTCAATTGGTTCAGAATAGAGCTGCCAGGCTGCTGACGGGGACTGGGCGTTATGTTCACACGACTCCAGTCCTCCGTCAGCTTCACTGGCTCCGGGCCCAATTCAAGGTGTTGGTGATGACCTATAAAGCCCTAAATGGCTTGGGTCCTGGTTACCTGAAGGAGCGCTTACATCCATATATGCCCGGCCGCCCCTTGAGATCTGCGGGAGAGGCCCTTCTCCGGGAACCCTCCGTGAAGGAAATTAGGAGGGTAGGTACTCAGAGGAGGGCTTTCTCTGCGGTGGCGCCCAATCTATGGAATGCGCTCCCCAGAGAGGTCTGCCTGGTGCCGTTGTTACTTGTTTTTCGGCTCCAGGTGAAGACCTTTTTATTCAAATGTCATTTTAACTGTTAATACTATTTATTTTTTATTCTTCAGCCAGGGCGACTTATTTTATATTGTTAACTTGTTTTATATTTTTATTGTACAATATTTTAATTGATAGATTTGTGAGCCGCCCCGAGGCTTCGGCGAATGCGGCGGCATAGACATTTGCTAAATAAAATAAATAAATAATAAAATGAAAATGATTCTTGGGTTGCATCATTGAGGTTAATACACAAAGAAAGAAGCAATGAAACCTTTGCTTAAGAAGCACAGAAATACCAAAAATGTGGAATGTGCTAGCCACCCACCTGGAGACTTCAAACTGAATTCTTCCTCCAAGATGAGAGCAAATGTGTTGGCAACTTCTGGATCATGACTCCTATTATCCTTCACCATTGCCCATGTGGACTTGTGCTGATGAGAATTGCAGTCTGACAACATATAAAAAGGGCCACATGTTCCTCACCCCTGCTGCCCAATATAAAAGCCGTAAAGATATATCGCAAACCACTTTTTATAAATCACGGTAAAACAAAAACATAGCTTAATTTTGGAAGCTAAGCAAGGTCAGGCCTGGTTAGAGTCTGCATGGGAGGCTTGAATCCTGCATCGAGCAGGGGGTCGGAACTGATGGCCTGCTAGGCCCCTTCCAACTGTACGATTCCACGATTCTCAAGGATAATGATGTTGTAAGTGCGGCCGAGATAGGGTGGTGAGATGCAGAATTATCATTGCAACACATTTATCAAAAGTGGGCTCCTGCACTTTAAGAGCTGCATAGAAGAGGGTACTTCAGCAGGAGCAGCTTACGTGATATGGCTGCTCAAAAGTCCTGTTTTGTAAAGTTTCAGGACCCCTCCTATGCTTGCATTTAGTCACCTGTAATATCAGTAGAACAAAATACAGAGAAGGACAGCCAGATTAAATTTTGGTGTTTAAAAAAATGAATATAATGCTACAAAATGTTTAAAAATCACAGCACTGAGCTTTAAATTTTTATAAAGTCCGCAGGAGAACTACTTGCATAATTGATTGCAACGGGCAATGGTACAGACTATGAAAAAGGAACATCCCGTTAATGCTGAATGATAAAACATCTCTGTGGGATTTCCTGTTGTGTATAATATCTGCTTCCTTTTGGTAACTTAGTTTTCCCAACAAATACTGTCTCTTGTTTGTTGTTTATTGTTTATGATTATATTGCTGCTGGATTTTCCCCCCAGTGCTAGCACAGCCAGCTCAAATCAATATAGATCCAGAAAAGGCTCAGATTTGCACTCTTTAAGATGTGCACGTATTTTGAGCCCCATATTGCAGATTTCCTGAGATTAAAACACAAACCCTCCCCACTCCTGTAGCCCATATGCTGGCTCAACACCCAAAAAATCAAGCCGGTGCTGGTGCAGGAGACACGTAATGGAATTGTGGAGGGGGAGGGAAGCTGGGGAAATCCATTCCATGTTTCCCCAAGAACAGATTCTTCACACATCTGTACTTATGAGGTCATAGCTGCTACCCCCAAGGTAAAACCTTCCATACTGAGTGGAGGGAACGGGGCAGGGAAAGAAGATCCCTGAGTGGATCTCCTCCTTGGTATGGACACAGCACAGGTGACCTGAAGCGTCTTCTGATATGCCAGATGCCGTCCAGAGGCCATAGGATGGTTCTCAGCCAGTTCTGCAGCTCATCCAGAAAAAAGGCCATTATGCAAAGTTATGCCAATGTAAAGCTGGGATGGAGTCCCATCAACCTGAGAGGTCCCTGTGGGTTTGTACCAGCATGAATGAAAGCAGAAACTGGTGCATGTATTTTTATATTTTACACATGTCCTTATACACATGCATGCACGCATGCATGCACACACACACACACACACAGAGGCAGATAAAATTTGAGGGGTGTGGGGAGGAAAATTTGCCAGAGTAAAACCACCACAGATATGTGATATTTACAATGTGCATTCTGTAATCTAACAAACAATTATTTCATCAATTCTGTCTTTTAACCTATCCTTTTCCTATACTTTCCCATAATAGACAATTATTGGAAGAAAAATGCTTTAATGTTACTGAATGATTTTGAGTTTGAGGTCTAAGATTTTACCTCAGGGAAAAATGCTGATAAAAACAATCCTTGGATTCAGAATTCATGTAGGAGAAAATTGCTCAGGAGGAATAATAGCATAGATATAATCATCCATTAGAAGCTGTTGTTGTTTTAAAAAATGGGTGCAATTCGCTAATAAGTTACTATGTCAGATTCCATTAAAATGAATAGGAATTGATTTGCAGGAATCAATGTTGTCTACTCATGCAGGGACGAAATCAAATGCCAGAGTTCTGTGCAATGGGTGTTGGGAATAATTTGATGCAAAGTTGGGTAGATGTGAGAGTTATAAGTTTTGAAGTGAATGTCACATAGTTACCATTGTATGCATAGCTTCAATCACAAAGGACTTCCACAGTAGTCATATACATACCAGATCTAATGCTTGAATTGGCATATAAACAGTCTATTTATTGGCTAGTATGGTAAGAATGACATAGCTGAACAGATTGGCTTGCAATGTATATGTAGAATAACTCTGGATTCATGCAACCTCTCTTTTTAGGGTTTCCGTGGCCCTCCAGGGATGGATGGGGAACCTGGTATACCTGGACAGCCTGGTGACCCTGGACCACCTGGACAACCATCCACAGGGCCAGATGGAGTGGGCAGAGTAAGCTGTGTTTGTTAAGGAATGTGAAGAAATGAACTGTTTACTCACCCTGTGTTTGTTTTTAGTTGCCAAATGGTTGCTTTCCACTTAGGTGGAAACTGAGTGGTGGTTGTTCCGCTTGTGCAGTGGGACTTTGCCTTCCTCCTCTGGACCCCCATAGGTGCTCTCTGAAGGGAGAACCTGTTTGCACCGTGATGCCCACTTTGCTGGTGGCAGACACGATTGGGTTTGGAGATGGTTCTTGCCAGGGGGTTCAAAATGTAATTGGAGGTAGAATGGACCAGGGATGAAGAGTAACACAGTAACGTGCTGCCCTTATTATTGGCATAGAGGTTAGGAGGAGTTGTTGTCATGGTCTGTATAGCTGAAGTTGACGAACAGGCAGCCAAGTCAGTTCCAGGGGTAGAATTCAGAAAAAAGAAATCTCAGTAGAGAATGTTGCAGAGAAAAACGACCCAATGGACAAAAAAAAAAAAGCTGATCTGAAAGCAAGAAGGGCAAATGTTTCACTGCCAGGGGATTAAACAGAGAAACAGAGCGAATCAGAAGGGGCCTCCCGGGCCATCTAGGCTGATCCCTGGCTCCAGCCAGCTCTGCTCATGACATGCCCACCATGTGCATGTCCAGCCTATCTTTGAACACCCTCACCGATGGGGCTTCAGCCACCTCCCATGGAAGCCCATTCCACACCCTCGGGGTCCTAACTGTCAGGAAGTACTTCGTGGCACCCAAATTGAACCTTGGTTCCCTGAGCTTGGTTCCGTTGGAGCATGTCCTGCCTTCCTCTGCAGGGGAGAACGGGTCTCTACCCACCTCCGTGTGACACCCCCTCGCATACCTATATGTTGCCAACAGATCCCCTTCGAGTCTCTTCTAAGACGAACTAGAAGAAATACCTTATCGGTAGGACTAGGCTCAAGCAGGGAAACATCTGCACAGAATTTTGAATGTGTTTCTGCCCAGTGTCTTACAGTGATTGCTAAAATTGCCCCTCACCCACAAGACATTTTATTGCAATAGCTGTCTAAACAGTGCTTTTCAAAACCTTTAGTAAAAACTGACTTGGTTATGATTTAACTTAAATATCATCCCTTGATTTTCACCCTGAATTGCCTTCCCACTTCTTTGCTGGATCCGTAAGGAAAGAGTAAACAAGGATGCTGGAGACAGTCTGAGAAATAAATACGTTCATTTAATGGCAGAGATAATAACAACAGGAGGGGAAGACATAAAGGGCTAAATTAGTTTGTGTCTCCCCACCCTACCCCAGGGTGTAGGTTACAGCCTGTGCTGTAGGGGTATTGTAAGGGTTAAACAGAAATTACATTAAATCCATGTCTAACAGAGGTGTGTAGTGGCCACAATATGTGACTCTGATCTCTGTGCAGCATTCTAAAAAACAGCCTGATTCTGTTTGAACCCATCTCATGTTTGGTTGTCCTTTTCTTCTGCTTACATGATGGTCTTCGCCAGGGCATTTCGCCTTCTTATGATGTGTCCAAATTATGACAGCCTCAATTATGACATGCTAGAGAGTTGCAGTGTTGCTCTTTTCCTGCTGCAATGGGTGGAATGGGAAGGGTGTCCAGAAACAGGTGGTGGACTGGATAGGGTGACCCACCACTGCCATCACCAATAGCTGAGCCAGCAAAAAGCTCAGAAAGATCACGGTTCCATATTCCATTACTGTGCTCAGATACAGGCCCCAGAAAGGTGTGTGTGTCTCCAGATGAACCATGAAGTCCTTTCTGAAGATCAGTGGCCGCTCTACAGATCTCTTTATGGCCAGACATTGTTCAAAGCAGTGAATTTATGCCACCGTGCCAACTGGCTAACATAGGTCACAGATTCGTTCAGACATCTTAGCCTTGGTGACTCTACAATCATAAATTGCTTCAAGGAAAAAAACAAACAGAAAGATAAACATTCCAATGCACATTTTATCAGAAAGCTACAAAATTGGTGGTATTTACTCAACAATAACACAATACCAGTTGCAAAGAGGGTGTACAGCATACAAACAGAAGGGCTTTACAGCATCTTTGCATAAGAAGTGAAGTAACAGGACCCCCAGAAGAAGCTTTTCCAGTCTTCAACACCATACAGGTCCTCTTCTTCCGCCCACCAATGCTGAAGAGGGATTCTCTTGCTGGAATTGCAGCTCAGCCTGCAAAATTTGGGACCATCTCAGTCCATCAGTCAGAGGTCACAGGTCTTCTCCCTCCTGTGGACTCTCTCTTGCTCCTGGCTGGGCTGACTGAGTAGTTTTTTTTAAATTATTACACAAGAAAACAAAGCATACGCCACATTTAACGATATTTAAATAAAAATAAATGTAGGTGTGTAGACCTCAGCACAGTAATTTATTTACACTTTTATAATAATAATAATAATAATAATAATTATTATTATTATTATTATAACATTTCTATGCCGCCCCTTGCCGAAGCCTCGGGGCGGCTTACAACACAATAAGATACATTGAAATACAATAGAACATAATAAATTACCAATAAATACAAAAATACAAAAAATACACTGAGATACAATAATATAAAATTAAAATTAACAGTATAAAATAAGTAAATAAAGAATATAGGAGGAGGAAAGAGAAGGAAGAAGAAGTTGCCCTGGCCAGATCATATATTCATTTTCTCTACTAATAATCATTCCTATCAAGCAGATTATTGATTTTGGACATACATATACCTGTTAAATTAGGGACAAACTCAGTCCATCAATCCCAGGCCACAGGCCTTCTTTTCCTGATCTCATGGAAACAGCTTCATTGCCCATTTCTGATAAAACCAGTGTGGTGTGGAGGTTAAGAGCATGGGACTGGGACTCAGACTATCTGGGTTCTAGTCCCCGCTCAGCCGTGGAGCCAACTGGGTCACTTTGGGCCAGTCACAGACTCTCAGCCCAACCTACCTCACAGGGTTGTTGTTGTGGGGATAAGATGGAGGAGGAGAATAGTGTAAGCTGCCTTGAGCCCTTTGTAGGAACAAGGCAGAATACAAATCGATAAATAAAACCATTGGACTGTTCGTGGACATTTAGTCTCATATTTTGAGTCTACAAAAGCTAGTGAACGGATCTTTTTTCTTATTTGAAAGCTGGGAATCTGGGCTAGATCATGTCTTATGGGTTGCACCCCCCTCTTTGTCCTGTGGTTACTCCTGCTGCGTATACTATCTATTTTTTGAATCCCAAATCTAGAATGAAGCTTTCAGCATTGTCAAAAGAAGAAGACATAGGCACTAGATATGAATTTAACGTGAAATTTGGTTTGGCCCAAATAACATATCAGAGTAGTTTTCTGCAGGATAATTTAAGATTTCAAACTGTCAGAATAAATGGAGAAATAAGCATTCTGAATTTTAGTTATGATTTTGATGGAAGTGTCACTATTCCAGCTTTTGGCCAAAGACTCTAAGCATCAACAAGTGAAATAATGAATTTGGAATTCTGGAAATTGACATTCAGTAGAATTTTATTTTAGACTTATTAATGTTGACTGAGTGTTTTTCTTAAAATAGAAAGAATATCTTAAGAACCACTTTTCTCCTGTCCCCAATTTAGGGACACAATTTCTGATTTTAAGACTATTGCAGGGAACCTGCCCCATGTGTTCATGGACAGCTTTGTATTCGGAATGCTTCCACATCTCCCTTCAGAGTTGAAGAACCATCTTGTAAACCTCTTACAACCGGTGCATTTACTCATACTCTAGTGAAGAGTTAGTCATTCCATTAGTGCATGCTTCAGAATGTTTATTTCAACCTTCTTCAACCTATTATAACGCCTATTGGCCATGTTGGCTGGATTTGATGGGAACTGAAGTCCAAAACATCTGCAATGGGCCCAGATTGAGGAAGGCTGGTATATTTCTTGAAAACATTTGTTGATTGCAGAACCAGGAACATTTATAATTCCCATCTGTAGGACATGGCCTTGGACTGCACAACATTTTGCTTAACAACTTATTTTTCCTGCATGTGATCAAGACTTCTATATGAGTTCCCTAGAAAGGAGAACAACTAACTCTTTGCTGAGGATTAAAAGAAGGGTCACACAAAAATAAATGTTATCTTGATCATGCACACTCTCTCTATGCTGCTAATGATAGTGCTAAGGATACAAGGTCTGTAGGGAGATGAACAGACACACATGCTGCTGTTATCTGTGCTTTCTTGTAATTTTATTTTAGGTGAACAACTGGCATAAATCATCCCTCCATGTAGGGGGAGTGTATTGGGTGCATGTGATAAACTTTATACCAGCCTTCCTCAGCTTAGTTCTCTCTAGAATGCACTCTCAGCATTCCTGACTCTTGGCCATGCTAGCTAAGGCTGATGGGAATTGAAGTCCAAAATAGCAAGGGTACCCCAGACTGGGAAAGACTGTTTTACATATTGCACTGGATACATGCAGAAGAGGTACGGGTGCTCACTTGGTCTCCTGTTTGATGGTTGCCTACTAAGACCTTATATTATATATGGACCTCATGCTATGTACTCCAGTCCTCTGCTGTGTGGATGGATTATCTACTGCCAGCCTCCATAGATCAGTCCTCAAATACTAGTCATGAACACTTTGTCTGTGGGATTTGTGGGACATCAGAGGAAACATGAAGTTCCCAAAATTTTGCTCCCACACTTCATGGACAGTGCTACAACAATGTCCCCCATTGATTATTGTTCTTTTCCACACATCCTTGAGGGTTAAACTTATCTGTGCTCATGGATTTCTTGGATTTGATGATGCAAATCAGTGTGGTAAGAAGCATGCCAATGCCCTGACTCTGGTCACACTTCTGACAGTTGCTGCTTCTGGAGGTAAAATGCAGGTTTCCTTGTGTCCACAGCATTTATAGCTGTCACCCATAATGTCTAATAAGTGCAATATGTTTCATTCATCACTTTTTGGACATGGGGATGGTCAAAAGGGCCAAGTTGTCCAGAGTTTTGCTGTGTCAGGACTGTTGCTTGTGTGAGTGTAATAAACAGCAATTTAAATATGTACATACATTGATATTTGCCTCACACACTTGTGCCTTGAAGAACATTTAATCAGTGCTGGTTTAATTATAAATAGTTCCCTTTTAATTAAGTTTGAAATTATTCTTGGTCAGTGTTTGTATTGCATCTTTGAGAGAAGACAGGGTCATCATTCTTGTGAGCTTGGCACACGAGAGGCTGGGATAATTTAATTCATGCTCATTTCTCAAACACTTTCACCCTAAATCTCAATGAGAAGATGAGACATTTTTCCTTTTAATTAAACACTGCATTCCATTGGATACAAAGTGTGGGTGAGGGGAGAATGAATTTTGAAGGCAAATCAGTGATGGACTGTGGAATCAACAATCTTTAGGGAAGGACTTAAAATAAATGCATATCTAACACTAACAAATCTGTTACTGGCCATTCACAGAAAATTGATGGCAATCTGGTCATTGGTTTCAGTGCAGTATTGATATAAATGAAACTGGAATCACAGAATGTTGATAAAGAGGAGTAAATGGCTATTTGTTTAAACAGTTCAGTCATGAAGAATAGGAAGAGAATCAGGGAACCTTGCATTAACTGTGCTCCTAATCTCACCTTAAGTGCAATGTACTTTTAAGTGTACCTTAAATACATGTCTGTATTGGAAAAAAAAAAACAAAAAAACCAAGTCCTGTTGGGTTAAATGATTCTCCAGTTAGTGTGCAAGGGTTGCAGTCTAGATTTGCCTCTTGAAGTTTCATGCCTTCCACCTAGTTCAAGACTGTGCGTGCGGCCCCTTTAAAGAGAAAGGGAATGATGCAAGCCATCACTTTTCTCACTTTTCTTGTGAGAGATCAAATACAAGCAGCACTATCGTTCTGTGTAACATGTTAAGCCAAAGCATAAATGGTTTTTGTCTTTCTGGAGGAGAAGAACAGATATTAGGCCTGCCGCTGCTTAAGTAATTTTACAGCCAGCTCTGCAATTTTTTTGTCTTCTGTCCCCTGCAATGATTTCAGCAGCTATTTGTAAAAGGTTGACCTCATGGCTCATCCACCCTGTCCTGTCTACTAGAATTTCCGTTAAAGCTAATGGTTAAACTTCTTCTGATTACAGCCGTTTACATCTCAGATGGCAGGACTGGATGAGAAGTCTGGACTTGCTAGTCAGATGGGTTTCATGCCTGGTGCAGTGGTAAGAATATTTTGTTGTTCAACACAGCATTTCTACCCCACTTTTCAGCTTCAAACATAAAATGCTCTTTTGGTTGAAAGCCTGCCCAAAGTAACAGAGAGATTGCCCAGGAGCCAGTGGGAGTCACCACTTGTGCAACAGGGACTTAGTTCTTTGAACTTCAATGAGAAAGACTCACTTCCAGAATGGGGCAAGTAAGTGGAACTCACAGAACCAAGCTCTGATGGCCTCTGATCTCAGATCGTCATAAAACGAGCAAGTCTGCAGTACTAAATTTAAAATTCTAGTTTATTCAGGAAATAAGTACACATATGCTAAGTTTATTCTTAATGCTTTTAAATATAATAACTGTATGAACAAACCAAGTGATAAATGACAGCTATTTTCTGTCCCTAAAGCAGCCTTCCCCAGCTAGTGTCCACGAGATGTTTTGGACTACAGCACCAGCATTCGCAACTATTGGCCATGCAGATGAGGCAACTGGGAGCTGAAGTTCAAATATCTGGAAGGCACCAGGCTGAGAAAGGCTGTCTTAATGCAACAAAGTGGTTTTGCATCTGCGAAGAGCGCTACAGCTAAATACTGCTTATTTTCAATTTTCCCCAAAACAGTTTTAGAAATGCATTTCTTTGCCTTTTGGGGCAATAACAGTAATTTGATAGGGAAGTTTAGGTTGGTAGCCTGATCCCATGAATGTTTTCTCAGAGGTAAATCCCAGGTTTTGTGGGACTGGTTCCCATTGCGTTGTGCCTGCAGTTACAACCTTGGCAGCACAGCCCTCTGCCTGCTTTTTCAGAATCTCCCCATTATGTTGGGGCTTCCTTTCAGTTACTTCAGTAGTCTTAGCTAAGCATGTGACCTTTTTTATTTGAAGATCTTTCATTCAACTGGGAGGCAATTTCTCCATGACATGGAACACATATAGCAGGACATATTAGCACCATACACCGAATTTATTTTCTTGAAAGCAATATGTTTAATGTGTTTTCTCCCTGCTCCAGGGTCCTGTGGGTCCAAGAGGGCCTCCAGGTCTGCAAGGACAACCAGTAAGTAGTTTGTGCATGTACTCGCTGCATTCAGAGAGAACAATAAACTACGGTTTATCATCACACAAACGAGTCGTCCCTTCCCATTTCTTCCTCTGTAAGAAGACTGAATGCTTTCGTTTACACTTTTTATTGACCACAGTTTAGAGTATGTCCAACTCCTTCACTGTTGTTAATCTTGATTGTTGTTGGTTGATGAGGCAAGTCAGTCTCATAAATCAAGATCTGAAGTTGGCTTGTTTTGGTAAACCCTGTTTTGACAAATGTAAAGACAAACTGTGACGGATCAAAATGGAAACAAAAGGTTCAAATCTCTTCGCAAACGCAGAGTTTATGAAGGGCAGGGGTAGTCCATGAACACAAGACTCCAGTTCCTTTAATGATAGGCTATTGTTTATTGTCATATCCTAATCACTGAGTCATTTGGACATCTTGAGACGTTTTGGAATGCTGAATTCTCCTGTAATTCATTCAAAGGGAAGGATTTTTCAGGCGGGTTGCTTCACCAATCTTTTGCCTACTTTTCTATACCCACGATACACAGAGTTTAATTCATACTAGCTGCTTAATAATAATAGATGTATTGGCTATTAATTTTCACAGCACTGGAAACCATATTAGCTCTCATTTTGTTTGCATATGTTGAAATGTATTGCTTTATTTAGATTAGCCTTTTCTTTCAAGAGGTTCAGAGCATCTTGCATGTCTCTCTTCGGCGGTCCTTGATCTAGCTATTGGCCGTGCTAAGGTCTATTTAAAATGCTGCAAACAACTCAAATATTGTCATTACTTAGAAACAGACCAATCAGTTTCAATAAAGCTCCCATTCTAGAAGATGTGGGCTTGGTCACAAAGACTGAACCCATCTCTAGTTTTTCTAAAGCTTTCTCCCCGCCCATAATTTTGTCAGTGCTTCCGACTCATTGTTCAGTGATGAAACTCAATTTGGGGTTCAGTCTGAACATGCCTGCCTACTTAGTTTTCATCAATATTTCCAATAATTGCAACATCATATAATTCCTAGCATATTTTCACAAGTTCTAAAAAATATATATGTTTAATTTCAGGGTGGTGTAGGACCATCTGGTCCTCCAGGTGAACCTGGGGACCCAGGACCAATGGTAAGGTCAACTTTACATTAACCTTTAGTTATATTAAGGGGAAGATGTATGATAATGGCATTATACATTGTTACATTCTGATGGTGCCACCACTTTTTCGGAGAATGCATGGACTAATCATGTGAATGCATTTCCTATCAAGATTGCTCAAATTTACTCCTTGGGGCACAGCCCTACACAGGTGGGAAGAGTGGCAGGGGAAACCTTTGCCTTCTAATTCTCCTATGCTGCATTTTTCTGTAGATGAGCTTTTTCAGTCCTCTAGCTGGGACGTATCCAAGGGGCTGCAGAGGCCTCAGGATACCTTTCCAGTCTCCTCCATTCCTCACCCGCTGAAACTGCTCTTTCTCTCCTTCCCTGAAGTCAAGTTCCTAACCTTGGAGAGCAGCCAGTAAGTTCATGGTTAAGGGAAAGGTGTTGGCACCCCAGTTCCCCCCTGCAAGGTCAGGGAGCTGTGTTGGGGCTCAGGTCAGAGAATCCAAAATGTTCTTTGACCTCTCAGATGCTGTCTGCAGGTCAGAGGATTTGTCCCCTAGCTAGTTTCACTTGGTCTGATTTGTATCTGTTTTATTTGTTGATTTAAGCACAATATATGTTGTCTTCTAGGGGCCAGCAGGTGTTCGGGGCCCAGAGGGACCTGCAGGAAAACCTGGTGAAGATGTAAGTTCTTAAAGTGTCCTAGCAGACATGCCATCCATAAGCTTTTGGCAATGTTACAATATCACATCATATAACAAACATCATAAAAGCAATACAGAGATGCCACAAAAACAAAACCGATTCAACAAGTTGGAGAACCCATGTCAAAACAAAGAACAGTATTACCAGCCTTTGAAGAATCCTCAGACAACTAGCCAAACAAGCAAGCTGGTTTAGGGAGTTTCAGAGAGAGGGAGCCACCACAAAGAAAGCCCTGCTATGCTTTGTAAAACATTTATATAGCTTGCACCAGTTGTTTGAATCCAGAGCTCACACTGCACAGGAAGGAGGCATAACTACTCAGAGGGGGGAGCGGTGGGATCACCCTCCTTCTGCTGAAATGCCCTGCACCCCAAACAACTAGCTCTACAAGATGGGACAAGGAGCACTGCAGAAGGGAAACTCACTGAGCAGCCCATTCATGAATGGAAGTGATTCCCAAAGTCTGTATATATGTGTGAGATCTGGTAGCTGCATAGTCCAAAGTTTTCCTACAAGATGATTCGAACCTTGCCATTTTTAATTCCTCCTCCAAACCTGGAAACATGTGCCCCAGGCAGCTGAGCTACTCTTATATTAACCTCTTCACGATCACCAGACAGACAGTTACTATCCATCCATCCATCCACCCACCCCAATCAATCAGTCAGTCAGTCAATCATCTATCCATCATTCTTTTTAAAAGTTGAGGTTCTCACAATGGTGAAATACTGTTCCAAATACCCTTCTGGTTTTGTGTGGTGGCACATAGAATACAGAGTGCAACATGTAGTTTTATGCTTGGTTATATAAAAAGAATAGGTAGTACCCAAAGTGACTTTACATTAGCAGAAAGCACTTCCATTCCCAGAATCCAGGACACCGGATCTGCAATATCCTGAATGGTCTGGGGTACGACAGGGAAGGCTGCTGTAGGTTACAGACTGTTGGCAGAGTCATCAGGAGAATATAACCTCATTTCTATGCACAGTCTTTGGAGCACTTAAACCACATTTTCCGGCTACCTCTTACCACCATTAGCCAATACATTTATTTTATTTTATTTAGAAGGCTTCTATGCCGCCCCATTCGCCGAAGCCTCGGGGCGGCTCACAATAATAAATAAATAAGGACAGAATAAAACAATATAATATGAGTCGACCTGGCCCGAAAAATAAAATAAATAAATAATATTAACAATAAAATAGCGTTTGAATAAAAAGGTCTTCGCCTGGTGTCGAAAAACAAATAACGGCGCCAGGCGGATCTCTCTGGAGAGCGCATTCCATAGATTGGGCGCCACCGCAGAGAAAGCCCTCCTCTGAGTACCTACCCTCCTAATATCTTTCACGGAGGGTTCTCGGAGAAGGGCCTCTCCCGCAGATCTCAAGGGGTGGGCGGGCATATATGGACGTAAGCGCTCCTTCAGGTAACCAGGACCGAAGCCGTTAAGGGCTTTATAGGTGATAACCAGCACCTTGAATTGGGCCCCGACTTCAATGGGGAGCCAGTGAAGCTGAGGGAGAACTGGAGTCATGTGAACATAATGCCCAGTCCCCATCAGCAGCCTGGCAGCTCTATTTTGAACCAATTGAAGTATCCGGACCATCTTCAAGGGTAGCCCCACGTAGAGTGTGTTACAGAAGTCAAGTCGGAAAGTCACCAATGCGTGTGTCACTGTTGCCAGGTAGTCGTACTCCAGGTAGGGGCGCAGCTGATGGATCAGCCGAAGCTGAAGGAAAGCGCTCCTCGCCACCACTGTCACCTGAGCTTCCAGTGAAAGCTCAGGGTCGAGGAGTATTCCCAAGCTGCTACGTAATGAGACATTTTGTATTGGTGTATCACCAATTGCAGATTGGTAGATTGCGGTAGAGTTTTCTATCTAAATTGCCTGTAGAAACCTTGAGACATCTCCTATTAGCAGCATAACAGACTCAAAGGAAGAAACAAATGCTTCAATTGCACTTATGAGCGAGTTCTGTTCCTGAGAAAATGGAAATTTGTCTTTAAATTGAATTTGCATGTAAGTTGGATCATGTACACTCAGGCTTCGGCATTCATAGGGGTTAGGGATGCAGGAACCCTGTGAAAGTGGAAAGCCCTTAAATATCTCTAGCTCCTCCCCACCCAAACTCACCAGTGTTGCCTCTTTGCAGCAAGGAAATGCTGGAGAGATTTTCCACTTGGGATGGCAGGGGCAGGAAGGCCTGCTGTGGAGGCCCCCCTCCCTACCCTTTCATTTTCTTTCCCTCTCGGGTGATGATTTGGAGCCCCCCCTTCACTTCATTTCCCTCTGTGGCGATGACTAGTTTCTGCAGTATTTTTTTAATTAATAGACTTTATGGCAGTTTGTTTGTAAGTCTGGGGTGTTCGTAGCTTGGATATTCATAACTCAGGGACTACCTGTCTATAGGTCTAGAATGGCAAAGCTGCGTTAATAAATGGCTTTCTTGTAACAGTTATGTGTACTTGCATTTTGTGCACCATCAAATGATTATGCTACACTAAGCTACTATACCTGAGTTGGTGTGGCGGGTGTGGCCCCTGCCACCCCTTCATCTTGAGGGATTGTAAAATGTTTGAAAGTAAGACTGACAGTCATATATTTAGATATTTATGACATCACATCATGCTGTGGGCCAGATCCAGCTGTCATGCCAGCAGGCATCTCCTTTTGCAGCAGGACTTGCTTGCACAATGGGACTTCCTCATCCTCTCCTCCCCTGAAGCCCCTTCTGTGCACCCCAAATCTATCTCCAGAGCAAGTCCAGTGTATGTGTAGTGGGGAGAGGAGAATCCGCTCCACAGGTAGATTCCTCTTGCTGGCAGAATGATGCCGTTACCTGCACCCTTATGCAAACAGCCTCATTAGGATATATAATGACTGACAAATGGATGATTGTGTATGTGAACATAACATTTAAATAATAAAATAATTTTGAGGATTTATGGATACTTTATTTCCTCTTTTTAGGGTGAATCTGGCAGAGCTGGACAGGCTGGAGAAGTTGGATTCCCAGGATCTCCGGTATGTTTGTTTGCGTCCATTCTGAGCAAATCATACATGAAATAAAAGCCAGTTGCTCTATCTGGTGCCACTGAAATCAATGCCAAAGCTCCTAAATGGAGTGTGCATGATATTTCTAGGAAAATACCAAAGGATCTGCATCTTTAAACATTTAACTGTTGCATAGCATCTACTGGAAATCCTCCTATAAATTCTTCTGGTGTTGAGATTAGGCGAGGCAGTTAGTGTCTCGAAGTTGTGATAAGGTTGTCGTTGGTAAAAGAATGAAAAAAAATATTTTGCTTGATCTAAATATACTTGTGGGCCCCTAGTCACGTTTAATGACCGGTGACCCCAGATGAAATAATATACATCCCAGCTGAAATCAAAAGATGTATCCAGCCAGTTCCACAGGATTCTAGTTGTGAAGTGGAGGGATCTGCCCTGTGAGATGCTCATGTGAGTATGTGTGAGGATAATGCCCCATACTGTAGTTAGAAGACAACACTGATTGTATCCAGGTGGAGTCAGGAGAATCTTTTCCCACTTATGCTTTTGTGTATGAGAGATAATACACTTCTTGTCCTCTAAGCCTTTCCCAAAAATATGGATGGATACTTACGTATCTGGATCAAGGTGCTCCCAGAACATCTCACCCAAGTAAATAACCATCATAGGCTAAATGCCTGCCTTATGATGGTGGTGATACATGTGTGCATGCATGCACTGAAGAGCAACATAAGTGAGTGAGATGAGGAAGCCCTGAAGCTTCTACCCGAATATCTACAAAGGAATTGCAGCCCTTGGGTTTGCTTTTAAAAATGGAGCTGATAGCTTGATAGATCAGACAAGCAGCAGCAGCAAGAAGCACTGACAGATTTGAGTAAATTTCCCCGAAATTTGCTTATACTTACTTCTTTAGAATTTGCTTATACTATACTTTTAGTCAGGTCTAAAGTGACCTGACTAAAAGAACATCCATCTAGAATTATTTAGAAACTCTGGAGACATCCATGGAGATTGCACCAAGAGGCTCACTCTTTGGAAGACCATAAAAACTAATGACATGCCTAAACCCACTCTGAGCCCTTGTAAAAATAGGCAGATCTTGTAAATGTTCTGAAAGTCAGTGGTTCAGTTAATTCTCTCCATAAGAGAAAAGTGAATAGAAAAATTAAGAGTGTGTTGAAGACATTTCAGTCGGAGTGACTCAGTTGGTTGCTGGTTGGTGAGTATCGAGTGGGGACAGAGGTCATCCCTTTTTTAAGTAGTACCCTCCTTCTCAGACCAGTGGAGGCTCTGTAAACTTGCAGACATTTACAAGACATTGTGGGAGTGCTGCTTTTCACCACCTGTCCAGCTGTTTGATTTCCCACAATTCTTTCTTAGGCTTCAGGCCATTACCCATCTCTTCTTTGGAAGATGGTCAGAGATTTTTTTTTTTTTTAACTCAAAGATAAGTCATGAAGTATCATTTGTATATCGCATATCAGCCAGCAATTGAAGATTTTCTGCAGGAAGGTCAGGTCTTCATTGTCAACATCTTAACACATAGCTTCTCTAAGGGTCTCACTTTATTGCTTCTTGGTACTGCCTCCCTGCCTTTGCCTAGAACCCCACCTCTCACTTCTACATACGGCTATTAGGGATAGGCAGAGTCTGTTAAATTTGTTCCAATCTGTGTTCCATGGATTGTCAGGTATCTTTTATTCTGTCATCTGCTCATTTATGGAATTGCATTCATGCGAACTGGTGCAAATGGGTACTTCTGAAAATGCCCATGTCCCTCTGCGAATGCTCAGATCTCCCAAAATAGTGGGAGATGGTTATCCTTTAACCATAGTGATGGTGGTGGGGAGCACATGGTCAGTCAGTTTTTAATAGTTCCGTCCCCTCCCCTCCCCTCCCATAGGTAGGTGCTTTGTACTACCGAGTCAACCTGTGACTCCAGTGACAGGTCAGGATCCAGAAGCAACCCCCAGACTACTAACCTGTCCCTTGGTGTGGGGGGGCAGGTGCGATGTCCCCCATCTGGACAGAGGATCCCTGCAGCAACAGTACCCCTTTCTCATCTAGATTAAATCTCTGATTATTGGCCCTCATCCAATCCATTACCAAGCCCAGACACTGATTCAGAACGGCCACTGCCTCACCTGGATTAGATGGAAAAGAGAAGTAGAGCTGTGCATCAACAGCAAAATTGCCTTAGACAGTAATGTATTAGAAACCACGGGGTCTCCCCAGGGTTTCAGGGAGGAATCTTTCTTAGGCCAACCTGGAGACGCCAGGGATTTAATCTAGGTTCTTCTGCCACAGCCCCTTCCATGTGTGCAGTATAGCAGGGGTGAGGAACCTCAGGCATGGTGGGCATAACCTGACCCTCCAGGGTTCCCCCGATGATCGCATACCCAAGTTTGTTTCTAAAGCAATGGATACCCAGATATGGCTCTGGAGACTTTCCTAGTCTCCTCCTACACACTTCTCCATAGGCTATTCTGGTCCTCCTAAACCTGTGAGACTTTCAGTCCTGCAATATGCTTTTATGCATAAGAGTACAAAAATAAATCTGCAAATGAGAGCATTTGGCTTTGATTATTTATACTAATGGTTACAAAAGGAGAAGGGAGGGCAGGTTCCCATATGAACCTAAGAAAATGAACATTTTTTCCTTAAATCCCCATTAAATGACTAAAATGAAAAACCAGTAATATCTGTGGCACAACAGCAGCTGTTTTAAGGAAATGTTTCTGAGAACTAACGGATTTATGTTTTTGTGCTTGGCAAATCTCATATTGAATAAAATAGCAGAGGGCAGCTTTGCCTCTTTGACAATGCTTCCCTTTGGTGCAAAACAGGCCACTCAGGGTGGAAGATTAATAGCTCTGTCATGTAAATATCATCTTCGGAGTCTGCAGTCCTCAAAATGATTTCCCACTAGATTTGTTTAATTAAAGAACTCACTTATCTTTTTGACAAGGATAATGAAAAGCCTTGCCTCTACTGTGTAAAAGGATTTAGTGGCAACGCCTCTCTCTCTTCCATGTAAAAGGTCTATCTGCCGATGCAGACTGCAGTGCAGTAAAGCTAATTGATGGGTGCACCTGAAAAACCGTCTCGATTATAGGCTAGAGCCATAGCCAAAATACCCTGAAACATACATTGGGATGTTGATAAGGAGGAGAGACACTGAATTCAGTGCTGCAACCTGAGTGTCATGTGCACTGTAATCACTGATGTATTTAGTAGGAATAAGGAACAAATAATTTCTAGACACTGGGCAGTTGATCTTTATTTCTAGACAGAATGATCCAGTGCCCCCTACACAGCACTGAGCAGGGTATAAGATTCTTCAAATTCCGGGATCCAAGGGCATAACCTTGAGTTGCGGAGTCTGTACTAACCCTGTACTCCCTCCCTACCTGCTTGGAGCTTACACAAAGAGGGCCATGCTGGCTGGTGTTCAAAGATAGGCTGGACATGCACATGGTGGGCATGTCGTGAGCAGAGTGGCTGGAGCCAGGGGTCAGACTAGATGGCCCGGGAGACCCCTTCTGACTCGCTCTGTTTCTATGGTTCCCTGAGGTTGTAGGAGCAACCTTGGAAAAGAGGTCAAGGGGGCATTCTGTGGGGAAGGGAGGAATCCAGGTCCACTGGGGTGTGATTCATCCAGTGCCACAGCTGCATGGCTGAAATGAGCCATCCAGCTGACTTTCAGGGCAGAAGGAGAAAGGAGGCAAATATCAGCTCAGTCTTCCTCCTATCTGTATAGGATGCCCATAATTCTCTGAGTTCAGAGGCTTATGAGTATCCCACTGGATTGCACCCTCCCTCCCTCCCTCCCTCCCTCCCTCTTTCTTCTTTCTTGATACCTTTAAACCACCTAGTAACCCAAGTTCTCTGGCTTGTGCAATATATTAAAAACAATAGAAAATGAAAAATATGATCCCTTATATAATGTGAGACATTGTTATGTATACAATACATACAAAAACAGAATACATTTTAGTATTGTATTTGCTTTGCTATGATTGTAAGAAGTGGGATTCTACAAGATCTGTGCCACCTTTCCTTCATAAAATTACAGAGTTGGAAAGGGCCTAGCAGGCCATCAGGTACAACTGCCCACTCAGTGCAGGGCTCATGTCTCCCATCCAGATTCTAACCAGAGCTGACTCTACTTAGCTTCCAAGATCAGGCAGGATCGGGCTCTTCAGGGCTGCAGCTCAGCAGTAATTCACATGCTTTGAGTACAAATGAGCCTAGGTTCAGTCCCTGGTATCTCCAGGTAGGGCTGGGAAAGCTCTCCTGTCTAAGGTCCCAGACAGCTGCTGCCAGACAGTGTATATAATACTGTGCTAGTTGGACTGATCCATTACATGGACGCTTCACGTACCACTCATAATCACTGGCTTGTTTCCTGCTGTTTCAGGGTGCTCGAGGTTTTCCTGGGGCTCCTGGCCTTCCCGGTTTAAAGGGCCACAGGGTAAGTGTGAACACATCTGCTTTCCCACTCAACCTTACTTTTTGGCTACCTATATTTTAAAATATAGCTGTTCCCTCTTTTATTTCATCTTTGCATAGTTCTAGTTTCAAAATGGTTGCATTTCTGTCACAGGGACATAAAGGACTTGAAGGCCCTAAAGGTGAAAACGGAGCCACAGGATCTAAGGTAACTGCATGTTTTGAGTGTTAGGGGAAAATTGTATCACACGTATAAGACTCCAAGGAATTTTGAAGGGGCAAGGCTGGTTCTGCCCCTGTTATGTTTGCCAGTCTCCACTACTTCTGTCTGCAAGGCAAGAAGAACATGGAGAAGAATAGCTCTCTCCGTCTCTTGAGATATAGGCAGGCAGCTCTTCCCTCTCACCCATATTTCTGCCAGTGTCCCCTAGAGCCGCCCACCCCTTTGCTTCTTCAGTAGCAGCACCAGAGAACCAATCCGTCCATTTTCATGACTTTATAGCAGAAGCTAAAGCCCAGCATGAGGTGCTGTTTAAAAGAAGTCATCTTTAGAGTGTGGTCTAAAAGCTGCCAGTGTCGAGAGAAAGCTTCTTGAAATGACCTCCACATGATGGCTGGTTTACTTCACTTTGAAGTCATGAAGCAGTTTGACGCCCCAACCTGTGAAAGATTCCCCATGCCTGTTCTAGGTTTTCCTGGCAGTGGTATTGAGGGAACATTCCAGCTGCTGGGGATATTCAGGTGATGATCTTTTCCACCTGTGCCTTATGGATGCTCTGTGAGGCTTTCGGGTAGCACTAGTGAAGAATTATACCATCCTCACTCACAGGCCTGTAGCAGAGGTAGGGGACCTCTTGGTCTCTAGGTGTTGCTGGACTCCACTTATCCTTGACCGTGCTGGCTGGAGCTGATAGGTGGAGTCCAATGACATCAGGAGGACTACAAATTCCTCTCTCTGCTTTATGATATTCCACTGAAATTATACTTTTAAAAAAGACAACAACAGAGCACAATACTGTACAACTGATACCAAAGGGCATTCCTCAACCCACTAGTGAGGTTAGCGCTAGCCCTTTTCAGTGGTTAGCTCAGCCACAGTTGTCCCAAGCTGCACTCCTGCATGAAAATTTTGTGCCCATGCGTGCGAGAGGCCCATGTGGAGCAGTTTGCTGCAGCACCGGTGTTTGCAGCCACCCAGCATTGAGATTGCCTGCTATTTCCTTGTCTGATCACTGTTAGGAGGACTACTGTATGGTACAGTGGTTTTCTCCTGCTGTTGGAATTTAATTTCCTAATGTTGCATATTGTTTTATTTAGCATGCTGTATGTCTTTTCATTCCATTTCTAGGGTGAAATCGGGCCACCAGGTCAGATGGGCCCTACTGGGCCTTTGGTGAGTAACGTGTCTTTTTTACAGTTCCTGTTTCTCCCTCTCTGCCTTACCAGTAATGTCTAATACCTGGATTCCAGTCCAGTTATCGAAGACATACCTTGAAGAGTATTTAATTTCTTAACCTCACCTCCTCAAATGTATTCACCTGTGGTATCTTATGCAAATCCATCCAAAGTTCCTCTGAGTATGACGAAACTTAATCCACAGGAGGTTTTCTTAGGACTGTAGCCTAAGGGGTCGAATTCTGCAAGGAATAGGAGACTCTGGGGGTCCCATCCCACAAAAGGAAGGGAGAGGGGAATTGATGGAGGATCCTAATCATGCACCTCAAGTTGTGTCTTGGCCAGGATGGGAAGTATTTCAGGTTGCAAATCTAAGCATGCATATCTTAGGGAGAATGTACCACTGAACACTCAATGGATTGTGTTTCACACGACATCATTTTGAAAGAGAGATTTCAGTGGGTTGACAAAGCGGGTTGCTTGGCTTTTCTCACTCCAGTCCCTGCTGCCAATGTTGCTCTTCAGGCCTCAATGCATAAATGAAAACAGAGAGATTTTTCTGAGATTTTCCCCTCTCTGGATTCTCATATTTCTAGGTGTGGGTTGGGAACTTTATCCAGGAGTGTGTGAGGGGCAGAAGGACTCTGGAAGGATATGTGGAGCTGGTGGATATGGAAGAAAGAAGCAGAGAGGGAGAGGGGGAGAGAGAGGGAGACAGACAGACAGACAGAAAGGGCAGCAATCACAGTCAAAGTCCTCTTTGATGGTTTGAGTCTCATACAGGAAACTCAATGGCAGTAGAGTCCGAACAGTCCTGCACTTGGTTCATGTACCTTTTGATGCACTTTTGAGCTTTAACATTAAAACCCTTCCAAATGGAGTGGTTAAGGTAGTTCCAGCAGATGTGGCAACATACCGTGTCACAGCTATGCCTAAATCCCCTTTCAACCTTTTAATCATTTCTTCCAGACACACCCATCCGTGTGGGTCTGGGTAAAGCGTGGGCTGTCTGGAGCTGCTCTGGTGATGCTGTGGTTATAGGTGGCATGGTGTAATACAAGAAGCAGCTGCTTTAGGTCTGTAATGCCGCGATGCCACATTTTTGGCCAGGGAAGCTGTCACATCTGGTTCTCATCAGAAGGTTGGCAAACTTCCCAGATCTCTTGTCTGAATGGGGAGCTACCTAAATGGGAAGATGGTCGAGCATCTTGTAGGTCACCGTGTAGAGGGCCAGACTGTGGGACTATGATCTGCTCTGGTATATCATGATGGGTATGGTGGTTTGGCTAAAATTGGCCAGCTGAGTCATGCAAGTCTATTTTCGATTCAGTGACATTAGAGGTTACAGTAAAAGATCTGATGCTTCTGTCTCTCCTGGCACAATCATATGCTGGAGCCAAGAATGAGTTTCACCTCACATCAAGCATCCATTCATGCTTTTGCATGCTCACCTTTTAAATAGTGTTATTCCACTGGAATAAACCTTCCTGCATAAGTTTGCACCTTCATATTTGACAAATCAAGACGTTCCAACAAAACTTAAAAATAAATGTTAACATCTCTGGGGTATATAAGTACATTCTAGCATAATGCCAAAACACAACGCAGTTGGTTGTTTCAGTGTGCAGCATTGACAGTGGGCAGAGGTAGCGCTGATGGTGGAAGAAGTTTGTAGCACTGGATTCTCTCTCTCTGTCTCTCTTTGCTTCCTTATTCCTTTTAGCTGAGAGTTGTAGGCCTTCATTCCTGTCTCGACGTGCGTAGGATTTTGTCCTCGGTGTGTTAATGCCATTTCTGTTGCACCAAAATGCAAAAACACCTTTGTAAACCACATACAGACACTTAGATGGAAAGTAATAAATACAGCATGTGTTCTAGGAAAGGAAGGCATTTATTATCAAAAACAAATATGGGTGAAGATACAGTAATAAAAACATATTGCTTACCACAGTTGGTGGAAGTCAAAGAGCAGCTGATTTCTACGTCTCATTTAGTCTTGGCCTACTGGAATGCTCTTTCTTCTTTTGTTGGCTGTAGGGTCCCCGAGGGATGGCAGGAGAAAGAGGACGAATTGGACCACAGGGTGCTCCAGTAAGTGCTTCTTTATAGTGAAATAATCCAGATGGATCCAGTATGACTAATTAACTCGTACTGTTTTAGCTTATCTTTGTCTTGCTTTTCAGTTTAAATGTACACACTTGTGAAAGAATGGCTTTTGTGCCAACCACTTCTACCACCTGACAAGTTTCAAATTGCTTTCTTGGGCCACAATGTAAATAGAGAACAGTGGTGCTTGTTGCAAGATATTGTCTATGTACAGGCAGCTGAAAATAACCTGAAGCATGTATTCAGTGGGTCCTGGGCACACCCCACCCCTCAAAAAATAATACCATGCAGTCCTTTTCTTGGTCTTAGATACACTCATGATAAACCCATGTTAACATGGAACAGCTTCTCATATACATGAACACGTCCAAATGAATATGTACAGAATCACAACTTTCTTTGCAAATTAGCCATGTTGAAATTCTGAGTAAAAGTTGTTCAAAAAGGGATAAGAATCACACCTTATATTAATGCTCTGGGCAAAAGTAAATTCCATTGCTCATTCGCTTCCCAATTAATGTCAAGTTTGGTTTCACCCTCGTTCTTCACACTGGGGAAGGAGCTCTTTCCCATGTCTTAGCTCAGCCAGCCTCGTGCTATATTACTGTGTCATAATGGGAAGCCCCAGCAACTTAGACCAGCCTTTGCCCTCCAGTTGTTTTGAACTCCCAGAATTCCTGATAGTTGACCACTTTGACTGGGTCTGATGGGAGCGGTAGTCTAAAACATCAGGAGGTTACTCTGTTGGAGAAGTCCGATCCAAATGCTGAATCAACTACAGTGGAGAGATTGTCCTGTAACCCTCTCCCCCACCCCCCCACCCATGTGCCAACACAACTAACAACTGTCATATGTATTTCCTGTGGAGTTCCAATGCTTCACTTCAGTGCTTCACCTGCCCCTACTAGAGGCTAAGCCCACTTCGCATCTAGAGGAAGCATTCAGAACTGGGTTCCGTTTGACCAACTCCGCTGCCATCTGTCTGGCATGCAGCGGGTGCTTTGCTAGCCCTGCTGCTCTGACTTCTTGCACAAGGTGCCTTGCCATGAGGGGAGCAGCCTCGTGAGCGCCACGCCATGCACGGTGGCAGTTCTAGGGACCTTACTGTGGCCTGGAGGAAGGACTGCAGTATCCAAGACACCTTGCAATAATACTCTGGGGGGCGGGTGGGCAGGGGGATAGCCTCCAGTGCAGCATCGTGTCCAGGGAACAGTACTGGAAAGCTTGATATTCCTGATGAGTAGGCCTCTCCCTGCTCACACCAAAGAGGCTTTTCTACGGTGGAGACTGCTGGAGGTTATGCCAGGGCAAGTCACACGGGCATTCTCAAGGAAGTGCTGCTTGGCTGAAAGGGCTGAGACAAAAGTCATGCCAAGGTGGAATTTACTAGCAAGTCCATTGGGTGCTCGCTACCCATGTGAGCATTACAAGCAGAGCAGATTCGATTCGTGCGCCAGCTAATTTTGGAGTTTATCAGCTTCACTTGGTAGAAATCAGTGACAGTTTGGAAACAACCAGCTTCTTTAAGAAACATACTAAGCATTTCAGGAATTCTAAAAAATTAATCCTTTATTTAATTATTCCGTATTTCAGGGGGCTCGCGGTTCTCATGGTATGCCAGGGAAGCCAGGCCCGATGGTAAGTACCTCTCCCCCAGCTTGCTTTGTCCTCTTTCCAGTTGTTTACTGTTCATTTGCAGTTTGCAGTATTGTCCCTGAATTGTTTACCAGTATTCTCCATGGTGCTTCTCACTTTGCACAACAGACCTATGTGGGACAAATAGCAGTAAGCTGTGCAGTAGGGCTTGAGTTCCTGGACACTGCCTTGTATACTTGGCACAGTCGGAAAGTATGGGACTTGCCCATCCCGTAGATCTTGGGCCAGGCATGCAGAGACAAGTATGTGTGGGGGCATCTAGGGACTTGGTCCTTCTCAAGAATTTGCTGGAGCGCTTCTTCTCTGTCCTCTCTTTCCTTGGTAGCTTGCAGGTTCCTTGTGCTTGTGGAGAAGTAGAAAGCTAATGGGGACATTTTCTCTGGAAAAACGTGGCAGAAGCAGAAGCGCCTAGGTGACCACTTGTGGACCTCCAGATATTTTGGGCTACAGTTCCTATGACCTTTCAGCGTGATCTATGCTGGGTAGGACTAATGGGAACTGGAGGCCAAAACATCTGGGGCAGGGCACCAATACCCACCCTTGCTCTAGGGCCTAGAGCAGGGGTCTCAAACTCAACTTACCTGGGGGCTGCTGGAAGTAGAGTCTGGGTGAGGCTGGGCCGCATCAAGTATTCCACCCCCACGGGGGTAGGGGGCCGCTCATCCCACGGCCGGCCCGGGTGCCGCCGGCACTTTGAAGGCCACAGGGCCCCTCCCCCGTGCCCTGCCCGGCCCGGCCATTGGCCCGCGGGCCGCGAGTTTGAGACCCCTGGCCTAGAGCATCTAGACACGTCTTCCCCAACTTGGTGGCCTTCAAAGGCATTTGGACTCCAACTCCCAGAATTCCCATCCAGTAGTGCAATTGATGGGGAATTCTGGGTGTTGTAGTCCAAACATGTCTGGAAGGCACAGGGTTGGGGAAGACTGGTCTAGGCCATTGCACATGGCAATTACATCATTGTAACATGCCTAAAGGGTGATCCATTCTAGGTCCAATCTGCAGTTCAACTGAATTTGAATTGCCCAGCTAATCTCCAGCAAAAAACTCTGTTTATTTTAGGTTAAACCCAGAACAGATTTGAGTTTATACTAAGAATCACCAACACTCAGTGTACCTAGAGTGTAGGCTAATGGTTGCTCAACCATGATTTTAGTGGCACTTTTAAAAAGGGGTAAAAGAAGAACCTTAAAACAAGTACACTAGAATGTAGCAGAAAAATTAGACTGACAAGTACAATATAATCATTATAAAATGATATTGTAGATCAAGTTTCCATCTGTTTCTAAAATTGGTCGAAGCAGACTTAACATGACATCCGGGTGGCAAAAATATGTGGTAAATTCTCCATGTCAGGAGAAGGTTATAACATCATGGTTAGACATGCACCTGTGGGATTTGAACTATGTGACTGGAATAAATGAGTTGGTAGAAAGAGGTTTCTTCCGATGCTAGTATTACCCTTGAAACAGGAAAGGGAATTGACAGGCTGACGTTCAAGGCAAAATATAAAGAGGTGCACAGATTTGTTGGAGACATGGGAACTCTAACAAAGCTTTGCACTGTGACAGACCTCCTTTGCTCCATCCTGTTCCCCTCCTCCCAGTTTTGCATTGCCACAACAGCTGATTGGCCAGAGAACATGTGCAGCCTTCACTTGGCTGCTCATGGGCTCCTTTTCGCATTTTGCCTAGATTTGTCTGTTGCTGCACTTCTGAAAGTCTTGACATTCCCCCAGGCTCGCTGTATCTCCCCTCTCAGTGTGGCTTGCACCATGTCAGCTAGATAAGCACCCACACCTGGAGAATTAAGTTTGCTATGATTATACAGAAGAAGGTCCCATGGCAAAATGTTGCAATGCACTGGTGGCTTGTGTGAATGACAGGGCTGTGCTGATGTGTGCTTGATGGAGCTCTTGTCTAGTTTTGATATGACAATCAGAAGCAGGCTGAATCAGGTTGTTTCCTGGGACTTCTGTCTCTAAGACGGGCTGTGGTTTGTGCACTTTTAAAAAATGCTCAGGAAATTTGTGCAAATTACACAATGTGTGTGAATTTATGCAGTCCACACACATTATGTAAATTGCTCAAATCCCAGTATATTTTGCATAACTTGTGCATAGTGACCCTGAAGGACAATGTACGAGGAATCCAGTTTAGGGGCGGGAATCCAAGGGCATTCTTCAGCACCACTCCCTGGGCTCCATCCCACCTTGTCTGCCCTAAGTCCACCTCACGCCAGGTGTTTGCAAGGGCATCCGACAGGAAATGGGACCAGGTGAGTCTGCGAAGCTGCTTGTGCACATGCTTCCCACCACCCCTGCATCTGCTGTGTGAGAGGAGTTTTGCTTCCGCACATGTGACTAGTGGCCTTTGCGTACTTTGTGTAAACAAGGTCTCTGCTAGCAATCCCAAGTATTTGAGGACTTGAGCCTGGCTCTGCTTGCTTCCTGGCCAGCACTGAGCATTGGGAAAAAAGTCCAGCTGATGCAAGACGGGCAGATCCTGACTGGATCTTCATCCCCTTACACCTGAGAGGCACGTGCATCTTTGCATAATTTGTGTAAAACTGGATGATTCGTGCAAATTAACACTTGAAAAGTATGTGGCCATTGTGTGATTTCCACATGCTTTTCAGGGGCTGCTTTCTGCAAATCAGCTAATTTTATGTAATTTTTGTTAGTAATTTTTCATTTGTTTTTTAAACGCACAAATGATGGCCTTTTTGGAGATGGAAGTCTAGAAGTTGGCTCAAATCAGTGCCAGCCCAGGGCTGGCAATGCAGAACCAGGGGAGCACATCACAGCAGTCTTCCCATCAGGTTCACCTTCCTGTCAGGTTCCTCACACATCCCTTGAGTGAACCGAGCCTGTGGTTGAGAGGGCTGGAAAACAAAGCCGACGTTAGAACTGAAGCTGAGACACCTTGCTCTTTTTGGGGTCTCACTTTAGTTGATTGTTTCAGTTTTGGGATGTTTAAAAAGTGAAAGTACTATGCATTTCAAGTCCATGATATGTGAGACTTTCATGTAATGATGTGCTTCACATAGCCTGGGAGGAGTCCAGAGGGGGCAGCTTCAGTAGCTCCGTGTCTGGCCGGAAATAGCATTAACAGGGCCGCTGTCTCTCTGCACAGCTCTCCTACTTGGAACCACAGTGCAGAACTGTTGCATGCTGTACGCCCAGCTTCAGTGCCACCCCTAACCTGCAGAAGTGGTCTAATAGACCTAGACAACAATTTAGGGTATTTACAAACCATTCAGAGCCTGACCTGCGGTCCTCAGTATGGATTATACTGCAAGGATGTCATATATATCTCCCTTCCAGGAAGTGACACTTTCTGCCTTCAAGTTGGGGACAACGAACTGCATTTGCTGAGGAATCCACAGTAGCAGAAATAGCTATATATGCTTTGCATGAAATAAAAGCTAGGTTAGAGCGGAAATGATTGTGCTTGCTGCTACCCCTGGGGGTTCTTTTTTTTTTAGGGGGTAGAATAGATAACTTGTTCTTGAGTTCTGCCGTTTTATTTTTTTCTTTACTGGTATCTATGAACAGCTCTCTTCTTTCCCCGGGAACAGTTAAAAATAGCTTTTCAGGATGAACCAGGAGGCAATCTACCTGAAGTGTGTGAGCTGCTTTTATATATCCTCTATCTATCTGCCCCCAAGCTCTACTCATTCCATTTCACTTCCCCCTTTTGTCCCAGTCCGGCTTAGACTCAAACCACACTTTGCATTAAACACGATAGGATGCAGCTGTTCCTCTGCTTTTTTCTTTGCTGACAAATAAGTGCATCCTCCCTTTAATGCATATTAAGCTCTCTCTTAGGGTGGGGAAATGTCCCAGGGCAAGCAGGGTGAAGGTTCCCTCCATTGGTCCTAATCCAGACTGGGGCTCCACGTGTTTATGTGTGAGTCAGAAATGCAGATGACAGCTTCAGGCTATGTATTTAACCCAATGTGCAGTTTGGCTCTCAAGTTGGCCAACAATCCATGTCACTGAGTTCTATAAGGCAGGATTTTTCGGGATTTATTTCCCCAAAAGATGTGTGTGTGTGTGTGTGTGTGTGTGTTTTGCAAACATTTGGTTTATCCAAGTCTGCTGCTACTTCCCCTCTTCTGCGAGTGAATGATGTGGCATTGGCTGCAAAACAGGAAGACTCAATTTCGTATTAGCTCATATGCTTGATGAGCTGTTGCAGTGATGCTTTAAAGTACAGCACAAGATTGCAAGCCAAATTATGTCCCGATCACTAATAGTTTCTGGAACAGAGCATTTTTCTTCCTGGGATCGTCAAGAGACAAGTCATTTCGGTGAGGCATTATTTTATAGTATAAATGCAACATGCTCTTCAGGAGGGAGCTAAGCCAGCAAAGGCCAAATGAAAGGAAAGCAGCAGCGAACATTTTCAAGTTAGTAGTAAATGCTTTTGAGCCCTGTGTGCTGCTTCCCGAAGTCTGTCTAGATGCTCCTATCTCTTCAGATGAATGCAAAAAGCTTGCCCCCTTCCGTGCCATTTTTCATCTGTGCAACAAAGATATCTTCCTCCCATGACTTTCTGGATTTTCTCTGGCAGAGCTGTATTGACATCAGTCAGGTGGTACGAATGTCAGAGGGAATTAGCTTCACTTCCACTTAAGCTTTTTTCTTTTCTGGAGTAAGGGAATATTCATTGAACTCATTCATCTGCTCTTTTCAAACCTCTAGGTCCGCTTTCCCAAGATGTGTTGGGTCGCACCTCCTATAATTCCTACTCTAACACATCTGGAGGGTTCTGGATTGGGAAAGCTCGCTCTAGGTGGTAGCTCACCACTCTTGGAGTTTATAGCAGGGACTGTGCCTCCTGTGTGCAAAGCATTATTCGGTGTGGAACAAAATAGAAAATCTCTTGCAAACACAGATGTCTGAGCAGTTTTGGGCTGGGCACCACTTGTGGATGATCAGCTGCATGCGATTTCAGTGCTGCAGATCAGTAAAATATTGTAACAATTTGATCTGTAGGAACTCGTCTACAAAAAAGAAAGGTGTGTGCATAGCACAAGCTCTTCATGTGTCTTCCTGCTTTAAGCCACCTTCTAAATTCCTGTTTCACAAACTCCATGCCATTTATTTATTTTTATTTATTTATCTAGAAAGCTTCTATGCCGCCCCATTCGCCGAAGCCTCGGGGCGGCTCACAACAATACATAAATAATAACAATATAAAAACAATATAATTGGAGACGTCCTGGCCAAGGATTTAAAATAAATAAATAATATTTAGCAATTAAAATGACATTTAAATAAAAAGGTAAGGATTATAATAATCTTTTCTTACTTATCTTCCCTGTTGCTTTGTTCTAGGGTCCCCTTGGAATTGCTGGTTCATCAGGTTTTCCAGGCATACCTGGCATGAAGGTACATAAAGCTTTCATTTGATTCTGTTAGTGAGTTGTTTCTTTTTGATTGTTATGACCTGCATTCTCTAGTGTACATAGTAAACTTTTGATAAAAGAAGGTAGAATCTCCCAGGTACCCCTGTGTAAGTTTTATAGAGCAGTAAATCCAAGTGATTCGGATTCCATTGTGCTTACAACTGAATTTAGCAATAGAAAATTATCAGTTTCTCCCTAGTATTCCACTGGATTCCAGCCTAGATGTTGCTTCTCCAGGTGATACGTGTTTTGTGACTGTTGGGTCTTCTTTCAAGGAGGATGCAGCAAGGAGACAATGTCACAGAAAGATTGTTCACCCATTATGTAAGGTCTGGATTCTAGTCATTGGAGGCCTGGAAAGGGCTTTGGGGGCACGCTCTTTCTTCTTATGTCTCCTATATCAGGCAAAAATTACCAACTTAAGAGGGAGATTTCCAATATATGTGGGATTCACCAGTGCAGTTATTCTACTTTAGGTAGAATCCCAGGGATCAGGTCATTCTGCAATGCATAACATTTTGTGGAAACCAACCAACCAACCAACCAACCTACCTTGTAACAACATGATATCAGATAAGCAATACATATGATTCGTAGTATGGTGAAGTATGATCACTATTACTGTTGGTTCTCTAGGAGATTTTTATTCTTGTTACGTGCTCTGGCTTTATGTGCTTTCTTTTAAAGTGCATTTTCCTCTTAAAGTTTTATTGATTTGTAAGTAATCATTAAATTTTTATAGATAAAAAGATCTTGATAATCAAAATCTAATCAAAATCTGATCCAACCCAGAATATGTCTCTTCTTAGAGTAGAACAGCTCAATAGAGGGACCTTCTCCAAATCCTTATTCAATGTACGGAACTACAGCTTAGTTATTTTCCTTCCTAGCCAAGAGAGAGGGAGAGAGGGAGGGAGAGATGATACCACATTCACATATAATGATGTGTGAGGAAAAGGAATTCTGGCTTTTAGTTCACAGGTAGTTTGAATGTAAGCCGAAGCATCTGCTTCCTGGTTAATTGCTGGTTAGTTGCTGGTTAGTTTAGCCAAACGGGTCAGGCAGCAGGCACCATTGCAGTGCTTGTGAGCAATGAGCCAGCCCTCCCCCAGTTGCTTCCCATTGCATGCGGACGCAGCTGTTAATTCTGCACAGAAAGGGCTGTTCAAGCCATGTTAAAATCTTTCCTAACATGCTCTGTGAAGTTCTTTCCTGCAAAGTTAATATTTAACTTAATAGACTGTTTGAAAAAGGCATATGTGAATATACCCAACAACAGGCAAGTATGCTCTATATAAAGCCAAAGATTGGAATGGAGGCAGCTAATATTTGAACATTCATGACTGCAAGGTTGTTAAAATAACATGAGATAATGAAGTGAATGTGAAGTTCAGTCCCTAAGCCTGTCCTTTTAAGATACTTCTGTGCATTTTTAAAGGCTGCAAATATGGTATCATTTTACCTGCATAGATCTGGTTGTAGCATCCCTAAGGAAAACAAAACAGCTGGAAGTGCAGATCAGTTTAATGGGAGCTGGCAATGCGTCTGAGGCCCTCTGCCACAAAATAATAAATACCAGAAAAAGCCAAAGAGGCACAAGTTTAACTCATTTATATGATGCCATACATTGGTTCTGCTCTCATGTGAAGTTGAAGTTAACTTCTTTCCTCCACCAGCCTTCAAAAACAAACTATAACAGCGGTTATTTGGCACAGAGAATTAGAAAAGTGAAAACAACGGCCAATATTAACACTAGAGGGATATTTGTTTTGTTAATTTTGCATCCAATTTCTTCCTTTTAATGCTTCCTTGTTTTGATTGGATACAAAATACAACCACTTGTCCCCTCCATCATGGTCACATTTTCTATGTTTTAAAAACTTTTCTGTAAGAATCATTTCTAAATCTCTACAGAAAGTTAGATAAGGGTTTTTATTTTTAAAAAATACTCTAAGGACACAATCTATGAGTAAGCAGTTTAAGGACACTAGGAGAAATCTAGCATAGCCCTACAGTTCTCCAGGTTTTTTTTCTTCCAGTTTTTAGGGTTGCTCAGGAGAACTTTCTAGTGGGCATGTGAGTAGAATCGCCAACTAAATATACGCGGTGCAATTTAAGGAACCTGTTTGCTCTAGAGGGTGCTATCCATTACTGTTCTTAGCCATTACTGTGACGCAACATTTGCAGTGCAATTGACCTCTATTTCTCAAAGGTGGCCACATCCGGGCTACTGCTACAGCTCAGTGGAGTTCAGGGTTGCTAGAGAACTCTGCTGCATTGCTACATTCTCTGCTACAGTGGGAAATGAGTCGGCAGCCAAGCTTCTCCCAGATCCATTCATCCAGCCTTCTTCCCTGCCTGCTGTTTTAAGTGGGGCTCCAGGTGTACTTCAAAGTAGGCTAGAGAGGGAACCACTGATCGGTCAAGGGGAAAAATGGGAAGGAGAAGCTACAGTTGCATCATTTGGTGCTGCATCGAAGAATTTAAAAAGTATAGCTTTGGAGGGCTTAAAGGTATGGCTTTCTTTCAGGATGCAACCTGGCAGCTCTCACAGGGCTTGCCGTTGTCCTCTGGTGGGCTTAAACCAATATTCACTTGGATGTTAAGAGCTCCACATGGGAAGAAGATCTGTCGATGGGGCTGAATGGGTCCGTTGAGCTTAATCTTGTTGAGGTGCTTGTTTTTCCACAGCCAAGCTTGTCCCATCCTGGTTCCGTCCCAAACCCCCAGCAGTCTTTTAAATACATTTTTGTGCAAATGTGCCTGCTGACCAAAGCATGTTTGGGTTTGCATTTTGGAAATGTACCATTTTCTTTGCACATTTTTCAAATATCCATGTGAACATGTGCTCTTTTGTTTCCTGAACCGTATTGCAAGCTTGGACAACTATGAATTTCCAGCTGCAAAGTGTGTTCTGATGCACGTTTATTTTCGGGGGGAATGCATTAAGCAAATCTATTAAAAGACAATCAAACCCTTGATGGAGCAAATTCTGCACCCATCTCTATACTTAAATTTCCCAACACTCTGCTCTACTTCAGTGCTGATGTAATTCATCCTTTCTTCAATCACCTCTTCCTGGCTGCTGGAGCAATACAACATCAGAACCAATTCCCTAGGGAGTCTGTGGGTGCCTGACACTGGAGGCATTCAGGATGCGGCTGGACAGTTGCCTATCAGGGAGGCTTCAACTTGGAGTCCTTCCTGAGCAGGGCGTTGGGCCTTATTGGCATCATACAGATCTAGTGTTGTACAATTCTGTGGTTCTGTATGTGTGTGAGAGAAGATATATTAAAGTACTTTTGTGGGGTGATGAAGGATGACTTAATGAAATATTATTTGCCTCGAACTTTTAAAACCACTGCATAGCAAACATCTGGCATATGGCATATGGCCTCGGAGAAAAACAGTCCAGCAGATGTTTTATGTTGTATGTTCAGTTTATGTTTTCTGTTTTGTTGGCAATTTCCACTGAACGATAACCTGACATTAGCCAATGCAGTAATGCAAGGACTTAATAATCTCTTTGAATGCATTTGGGAATAAGATATGTTCACAACTAAGCAAATAATCAAAAGGAACAGAAAGGGAAGAGGTTTCTGGATATTTTGAAAAATAAGGGTCATGTTCCTTGGTTTTATAAACTGGTGGAATTATATCAAATTCCATTAAGGGTCGCACAGACCCTTGCATATTTGTTGCATGTAATTAAAACAGTTTGAATATTATGTTATGAATGTGGTAGAGTCGCTGCAAATAGTTCAGCTGTTACACTGAATCTATAACACATCTTTTGTGAATTGTTCATGCTGTGGTGACTGGATAACTTCTTTGGATTTTTTAAAGGGTGAAAATGCCTTTTAAAAGCTTGATTCAAAATTAAGAACCCACCAGAAAGCTTTTATGGCACCTGGTAATGCATGAAGTGCAGAGACTGGATGCAAGAATGAATGAAATCTTGGTTTGATCCACAGAAGGGCTAAAGACATTTTGCCACCTTAGATGAAGGGCAAGATTTGCCTCACCACCCTACCAGCAGAAGCCAAGCAGCCTGGCAGTTGAATTTCCCTTCAGCTTGGTGATGAGACAGTACTTTCCAGCACATCCAAGGGCAGCAGGCTAGCCTGGGGACTCAGGACCAGCTGCTGCCTCCCACGGCACTGCCCACTGCCTCAGGCAGCTGCCTCATTTAGCTTTGCTCTGCCTAAAGGCAGAGTCAGCCTCATGCAGCAAGCATCTTTGTAATTTAGTTATAGAAGCATCAGTAGTACAATCCATATCCTGGGCAATGATGGTGATTCATATTAATAAACTTTATTTCCTTCCAATATCTTACTTGTTTCTTCTGATATGGAACCTTAGGGTGAAGCTGGTCCAACAGGTGCACGTGGTCCCGAAGGCCCACAGGGACAACGAGGGGAAACAGGTCTGCAGGGTCCAGCAGGCATACCTGGCCTTCCTGTAAGTGCATCAGCCTTTTATATATTCAGGATATGAGTCCTGTATCCATAAAGTAAGAGTCCTGATTCTCACTGAAGTGGTAGAAGTATGCCTGAACCATGTTATTGCAGGAATGTAGGTGGAGCTTGCATGACTGAAATTCAGAGACAAACAAAAAGAATGCAGCAATGCAAAGGAAGGAAGGAATATCCTTTATTTGAAAAAAACAACAGAGAAGGCCTAGCATCTCAGCAAGAAAAGTAAATTGGAATCTTTCTTCCTGATACCATTGTTTCCATGTTGAGTTATTTGTTTGTGTCTATGTAGGCAACCTCAGTCATATTAATTCTTGCCTGCCGTTTGAAGTGGCACAAACCAGATTATCTCAGTAAGGACTGGACCATAATCTCTTGAATATATCCTATATAGGTCACGCCAGAATAAATTGTATGTAGTGTGTAGCACCAGATGCCCAAATGGATGCACAGATGTCCTTGAAGTGTTATTAATGTTACCTTGTTCATTTTGTCCTTGTGGCTAGAAATAACAGCACACAAATCTTCCCCGTGTTAATAGAGTTTCTTCGGACACTTGGGTGATTGCCTTGTTGAAATGACTTAGACAGTGTATAAGTTTTTGCAGGGATCACAAGGGTGGTATCCATTCTACTGCAGAAGCTTGGGCAACAGGGATTGAGTTCTCTATACAGCAAGCCCTAAAGTGAGGAGAAATGCTTGAATCTGGACTGGGGTAGGTTAGTGGAGCTCTGGTGTGTGAGCTCTGCCGACGTTCCCCGTTCTAGAAGTGAGTGTTTCTGTTCTTTTCTGGCTCTCATCCACAGCACTAAATTTGCACTGCTGGGGCAGTGCTGCTGGGGCAGCACTGAATACTGCCCTGCAAAAGCCCACCGTCCCATCCAGTTCGAGATTGTTGTGCCTAATTCAGCGTTACGCTACGAATGTCGGAGGGGGTGGCCAGGTTTGTGCTGCAGCAAAACCAACAGAAAGTCTTGTGGCAGCTTCAAGTCTAACAGATTTATCATGGCATCACCTTTTGAAATCTACGGCATTTTCATAGATTGTTGTGGGCAGTCTCAGAAATGTCCGGAGAGCTTTGGCTCCAGGGCAGTTTAGAAATTCATCCCAACAACAACGTGTTCTTTTGGGGTTGCCCATTTACAGAGTAGCTGACAAGGTGGGTCTGGCTAGTAACAAAAGACCAGTCTCCTAGAGAGCAAAGACTAGAAGAAAAGTACTTGCCCTAATGCTGCTGCCATTTAATGAATTTGTGTTAAATATTTGATGTTAATTAACGGTCTTAATTGGTTTAATGTCCCCTTTGTCTTTTGATCTTATGTTATGGCATTTACTTTGATATTTATTTTATTGCATTTCTATTGTTTGTCTTATTTAATTTTAGTGGTTTTATATATATTAATTTTATTGTTTCACTGGTTTCATTGTAAATTGTAGATTTTATTATATTGTTGTACTCATTTGTTGTAAGCTGCCCAGAGAGCCTTGTGGCTAACAGGGTGTCATATGAAATCAAATTGTTGTTGTTGTTGTTATTAAAATACTTTAAAATACAAAAAAAAAAAAAAAAAACAGGCTTTGGCAGGAACCGAGAGAGATCCGTAGGCACACTGGTGGTACCACAAAACACTTCACTGTTTTCACTTTCTTTGTGAGGCTTCTCATGCAAAGATGAGGTGTTTTCATGAAGTCCCATGTCAAATGTCCATATCCAAATAGATGCCTTTGGTTTTATTTAAAGCTGCCAGAGCTCCAGTTTTCATTGAAGAATTGCATGATTACAGTCAATTTTTGCCCATTGCACCCTTTCTTTCAGGGGAATAGTGAAGCATTTCATAATAATATATATTATGCTATTTCAGGGTGCTCTAGGTACAGATGGGTCCACAGGTACTAAAGGTCCATCGGTAAGTAACTGAATTAAACAAACTCTCATTTCAAGCTGGTATCTTCCATGTTGTGCTTGCCATCAACCCTACGCATTTGTTTTGTAGGGATCTCCAGGTACTTCAGGCCCACCTGGTTCTCCAGGTCCACTTGGTTCTCCGGGTCCACAAGGCAGCACAGGTCCACCTGGCATCCGGGGACAAACGGTAAAGATGTCTTTGTCACATTGGAAAGGACTGGATTTAGCTTCTAAAGAACAATATTGTTGCTAGTGCTGGCCTACTGCATGAAGTAAGAGACAAAAGTTGAGACAGTCAATTGTATGAGATCAGTCCTTGTCATTCATAGGTGCCTTTCTGTTAGGGCTGAGCTGTAGGTAGTCAATCAAGAGCATGAAGCCAGAATCCCGATGTGATGCTAGGACAGGAGAGGGCCACCGTGGGGGATTGGGGGCCAGTGTCAACTCCTTTGCAAAAGGGTCAAGTTACCTTGATTGCTGGCCAAGTGTTGTCCAACTATGCTAGGGAATTGGTTCAGACAGACTAAGACAGATGACAGTGCTGAGGAATAATGTGCAACCTGCTGGAGCCATAAAGACCACAGATTCTCAGGCAAAATTTTAGTTAAGTTAAGAAGCACTTCCTGTAGGATATGGCCCAGCTACCTGTCTGGAGCAGGAGCCTAAGTAAACATTGGTATCCAGGGAATTGATCCTAGTTACAGTTCCATGGTGCTCCACCAGGGGGCAGCTGCACTCCTGGCTCCAGCTTAGGTGGCGCTTATTTGTGTGTTGGTGAGTGTGCGTGTGTGTTTGTGGGTGGTTTTTTTCTGGATGGGGGTGCGGGAAGGAAATTGCTTAGTACAGTCTTAGCCAAAACAGCAAAATATTAACTACACTGTATGTTTATTCTTAAGAACACACTTAAATTCTTAAAAACAGTTTATCTATACAGAAGCCCCGCAAATATCCCCTATAAATTCCAGTAATCGTGCTCCCTCTTACCAGGCTTGGAAAATCTAACATTGCAAGTCATTGTTCTGATAGATTGCATTTACTTTCAGGGTGACCCTGGTGTTCCAGGTTTCAAAGGAGAAGCTGGTCCCAAAGGTGAACCTGTAAGTCCTGAAAATACAATATCCAGAAGCTATATGGTGTCCCCCTCCCTCCCAGAGTACTCCACTTCCAAACACCTTTTTCCTCTTGCTCATTTCTGTCTCTTAACATGCTGCCATCTCTATGGCTTAGTTTCACTGTCTTTTTTCTTTATGATACTCTCTCCCCCTCCCCCATTTCTTGTATTGATTTTCTTGTTAGAACCAACAGTAAACATGATCTTGAAATATCTTTAGCGTTAAGGATTTCACTCCAAGGGATGATTTCAAGATTTGAATAAATAACATAATCAGAGATTGTAGAACAGCACAGTTCCAAGTCATTAACAATAAGCAGAAGTGTTGTTAACATGAAAGGCACCAGTGACTTGTGCTTTCACCATAATATTAATCAAAGCATTTTACATGCCGAACAAACACTTCGTAATAGAAGTAAATCAAAACATTGCATTAGTATAATTTGCTGCTATATTGCGCTGTTAATCTTACATTTCAGCTGTCAATAAAATCTGTAAAAGATCTGATGTGGCTGAATGGAAATTAATTCTGAATGAAATTGCTCAGTGTCTGGCTGAAACTGAATCAGCCTGTGACTCTTTAATTAATATATGTTTCACTCTTTCGCCTTCATTGCTTCTCATCAATCATCCCTTTTATCTACAGTAGCAAAATGACAGGTGAAATATGATGTGAAGTTAAGCTAGTGACAAAGTGGCTTAGATGCAGCCACCAGGGATACCCAGCCTGGGAATCACTGACCCATATCCAAAGCTCTTTCTGGTGTCAATGAAAATTGTCTGCATTAGCAGTTGCTGGATCCCTGATCTGGTCAGCTTTTGTTTCAGATGTGCCGAATGATTTTTCTGCAAACCAGAAGCAGCAAATGTTCACTTTTTTCCCAGATCCCAGCACAGTGTTTCTGTATATCACATTGCACTTTTCTTCCAAGGAACCAGTGGCATGCACAAGACGATCCTTGTGAAGCTGGTTGGGGTGAGAATGGCTTGTCCAAGACCTTTGAGAAACCAGTTGGGTTTGTGATTTGAACCCAGGATTCACTGCTCCAACTCCAACTCTCCATTCACCTTTTCCATCATTGCCTTATTATCAAGAGTTAATTAATCTCCAGACCCAGGTAACTGGGGTTGTCCTGTTGGAAACTGTTTACACATGTAACGACCAAAGAATTGGCTCCCATTCTTTACAAATTGTTATTTTCATATGCTATATTATTCACTGAATTTGAAAAACAGCTTAAATTTCATTTAGTTCCTATGTACTTAGACATCGTTCTTTCAAGAACTGGGAATTTATGCATACATCATGTGAAAAAACCATTATAAAATAAATTCTCCCTCATGGAATTAGGCCAATGCTCCAGAATTACTGTGAATTGTAGGAATGCGTGCAAGAAAATGAACAAATTCATGGAAAGATTTACAGAAATGCTGTCACTTCAGCATCCCTTCTTCACAAAACATTAGCTGCTTATGAGTGCAGAAAAATAAATAGCTTTTTTTGTATTATATTTTATGTTGTGAGCCACCCCGAGGCTTCGACGAATGGGGCGGCATAGAAATGTTTTGATAAATAAATAAATATTTTAGGGAACCATTATATTCTTACAGAATGATGGTCTCTCTCTCTGCGTGAGTAGATATGACTGATACATAGGTAACTGCATGCATTTTAAGAAGCAAATATTTTCCATTAGGGTCCACATGGCCCTCAGGGTCCAATTGGCCCTGTTGGTGAAGAAGGGAAAAGAGGCCCTCGTGGTGACCCAGGATCAGTCGGCCCTCCTGGACCCGTTGGAGAAAGGGTAAGGATAGCAAGCAAAATGAAAAACCTCAGTTGCTTCATTTTGGGCCACTTCTGGGCCTGAGGCAGAAAATTCAAATGGTCCAAATAGGGTGGTGAAAGTACAAAAGGCTTGGATCCAAACTTGACTCCAACCAGTGGAAGGTCGGGTAGGTAACTTCTGCCGATTTCCCCCTGCAGCCCTTTGTGTCCACCAAAAATAATCCTTGCGGGGGTTAGACAGAAATTTTGGTTGATGCAAGGGACTGCAGTGGGCAAGTGGAGAATCCACGAAGCATCTTTCGTTGTGTCATGTGCTCATGGAAAGAAGGGCAAGAATGACCATTTTGTTCTGCTTGGATTAACTCATTATAGCGCTCATGTGTACTTGTGCACATTCTCTAATGGGCATTAAGGAATTGTGCAAAAAGTGAAAATCTGCAGCTGTCCCCTAAATATGCATTTTCATGCTTTAGACTATGGGAAGAATGTTCATACTAGCTGTGGGGGTTGTATTTTTGTACAACTGTATTTGCATTCAGTTTTAGAGAGCCAAAAAAAAAAAAAGATTGCCCCTGAGCTATGGGGTGGTATACAAATTAAACAAACAAACAAATACATGGTCCACACAGCCACAGAATCCATGCAGTTTGGAAAAAACCACTCCAATGCAGAATCTCTGGGACCGATTCCCAGAAATCCCAACTTCTTTGTATGCATTGTGGAATTCCATGGGATTCCTAAAAGTAAGTTTCCACACCTTCCATTCTTGGGATCCCTTCACTGGATCAGAAGTGTTCTATAGTTGGAAGGAACCATGCCATTTACCAAGGGTGGCATATGGATGCAACACAATAAAATTAAAAACTTGGCAATTTCTCTAACTCCATTCTAAAATTTGAAGGAGTGCTTCATACTGCCAAATGGCTGGATTATCCCTGGACTTCCCAAAGTGTATTTTATTATGTTGTGAGCCGCCCCGAGGCTACGGCAAGGGGCGGCATAGAAATGTTTTAATAAATAAATAAAAAGTGGAAAAAAAATAAATCTCTGTTTTTCTTTGTCAAACATTAAGCATTTGTCTCTGCCACAAAAGCAAAAGCATGCTGTTAAATGTGATTTAGGGCTACATCACACTGAATTACAAATATTGTCTATTTAATTGAAGTGATAGAATAAAGAAGTTAGGGATACATTTCTCAGTTTCGACAAATCACCCCATATGGGAAAGCACATTGCTGTTTTGTGTGACTAGTCTTTTTCTATACCATTTTTTTTCTTTCTTTTTTTTTTACTGGGGAAGACGACGAATTCGGAACATTTGGTTCCTTTCCTTTAATTTGTTTAACCAAGCAAACTAAATGATGTAGTTGATTTGTAAATATCTCCGTGAAATTCCCATTGTTGCTTAAACCAAGTAACATGGTTTAAGCTATAACAAATGTTTTGAAATTGTTTCATCAACATACTTTAGATGAAATAGTATGGGAGTTCCGTTACATCTTATTTTGTTTCCAGATTTCCATCCCTACTTTGGCTCTTACACTTTTTGTTAAAATGTATTTATTTCAATTTGGTATAAAAAGTAGAGATTTTTGAGGAATTCAGCCATTGTGACGTGCAGTACAAGCTGACTTGATCTGGCCCTCTCAATGGGACATGGTTATCTACCAGCTTTTGCATTTCCCAAATGTTACGGTATAATTTTTGAATCTCAAAATAGCAAGGATACAATGTGTATTTTAAACAAAACATGTTGCATTTTGAGAGAAAATCGGTTTAGAAATGAGTGTTTGAAGAAAAAGGACTTTTAAGTATGAGTTTTTGCATGGAGTTAGAAAGCAGGCTAATGAGGAATGGGAGGGCATGGCGTGGTCAGCACATGCAGGAAGATTGCACCAGTATAGTGATGCGCATGCAAGAAAACCATTGAGCCCATCGGACTTCTGAAGTTTCATTTCAGAACACATGAAGATTTGTGCAGGTTTTCCTGCATCATCTGTGCACATCTTTGGAATATATGCTTCTTTCATGTGCATTGTTCAAATGTTCACATTTCATCAAAATTTTCTGGTGCTTAAATCACAGCGCAAGCACGGAGATCTGTGGACTTGGACTGCAAATTGCTTTCAGTCTGCAGAATGCAGTTCCAGTTCTCTCTTGCTGGTATAAACTGGGCAAACACTGATCAAAAAGAACTGAAAGTAATTTCTTATATATCCTTTTGCTTGTACGTGAATGCTTCCTCTAGCTATATGCTAGGAGGCCAGCTTCCATAGTCCTATGACCCTAGGAGATTCAGACCAACAGAACAGAACTGGTCATAGTTCTGTCTCTGTGTAACAGCTAAATATTGAAGTTTTAAGATGAATTTGTGAGTAGCAGCAAAACTCACGGTAGGTAGTCTCTGAAAAGCAAATACCATACCTGATCTCTAAATATGGCTACATAGGAGTCTGTATGCACTAAAATTAGATATACTAAACAGCTAGATAGGGCTGTAGACCTGAATAGTTCTGACTGAGAAAGACCTAGTTAACCTTCTGGAACAATCATCACAGAGCTTTGCAATTCCAAATTATATATGATCCGTGTTCTACATTTTGTGCAATCTCCAGAAAAGTAAGCTTGCATGTTTTATGTTACCTGTTTTTAAAATAACAAGCATGCCTTTGATTCCATAGGGACCTCCAGGGAATCGAGGCTTTCCAGGTACCGATGGCTTGCCAGGACCAAAAGTGAGTTGACTTCACAAAGCAATATCATTGACAAAATTACAATTGTGTGGAAAGGGAAAACTGAAATAACTTGCAAGACCACTTTAAACGAACCCCCATGGTCTTGTACAGGAGGTGAGAGAAGATGCAGTTGAAGATTTAATAGTGGGTATGATAGGGTTGGTAAAGATTTGCTGTGAAAAGCGTACTTTTTAAATTTTACTTCAGGAGGCTTTTCATTCTGCTGATTCATTGTCTGAGAAGATGCTTCACACTTTGATAAATGCATTTGTTTGGAAGAAATGAATTATGAGTAATTCAGTGACTTACACAAATGAAACCCAATGACATGAATATCTTAACACCCCTGTTTCATTATGCCTGACCCTGCATGGTCTGTTATGAGTCTGGTTTTATTTGCAGGGAGCTCAAGGAGAGCGTGGTCCAGCAGGGGCTCCAGGCCCTAAAGGAAGCCAAGGTGACCCGGGCCGCACTGGTGAGCCGGGCCTCCCAGGTGCCAGGGTAAGGAGATAATGGCACAATCCTCCGGAGGAGCTGTTTGGAGGACAGTTGAAACTGAAACTGTGAAAGATTATGCATATCTTGGTTCAGTCAACAATGCAGCTGGAAACAGCAGCCAAAACATTAGAAGATTGAGATTTAGAAGGGCAGCAATTAGAGAAGATCATCAAGTGTAAGGACATTTCATTAGAGACTAATGCCAAGTTCATTGGGAGTACTCTTGTATTCCCAGTCACTATGTATGGGTGTGAAAATAGGACAGAGAAGCAAGTGGGCAAGAAGAAAATTTATCTGTTGAAAACATAGTGCTGGAGAAGAACTTTGCATATATCCTGAACTGACAAAAAGGCAAACAAGTGGGTCATAGATCAAATCAAGCCAGAACTTTCCCTAGAAACAAAAATGGCAAAACTGAGGCTGCCATACTTTAGATACATCATGAGAAGGCAAGACTCCTTGGAGAAGGCAACCATGCTAGGGAAAGTAGAAGGTGGAAAAAAGACAAGGGCATGGAGAAGAAGACCAGCTTGGAGACGGTTTGATGCAACAAAGGAAGCCGCAGCCCTGAGTTTACAGAGGCTGAGCAGTGTCAAGGACAGGACTTTGGGAGGGCTTCCTTCATAGGGTTGCCATAAGTTGGAGATGACTTATGGCACATAGCAGTAACAACAGATGGGTGTTGATCTTCTTATAGTCAAAATGAATGAAACAGCAGTAGGTGATAGGTGAAAGTTAAATATTGTGGCAGTATTACGGGAATGTCTAAATGCATCTTATCAATATACGGGATGTCTAGCTTCACCAAACTATCAAGTGCTAAAATTAGCATTGTTTTATAATATTTTATAGGGTCTTACAGGGAATCCAGGTGTTTCTGGTCCAGAAGGAAAACCTGGTCCTTTGGTAAGTAAATATAGAAATCTAAGCACTTCATACAGCAAACTGATTTGCTCTGGTTACAGTGGAATCTTCAGATTAAGAGTGTCCTATATAAATGTATAAAATGGAAATACTAATATAAAAGCAAGACGTCTATTTTCCATATTGGACTGGGGTGAGCGGGAAGAGCGAGTTAAGTGGGCAGGCTCAGGGGGCATGAAAAAGGACGTACAGCAGTGTGTTATTCTCTTGATGGAATCCATTGCCTGAAGATGGAGGGGTGGCCACTAGCTTAGGTGACTTTCAAAGGGATCTAACAGCATTCATGGCTTATGGGTCTGTCATAGGCTGCTAGCTATGCTGATTGCCACATGCCATCTAAGTGGTACCTTGGCATGCTAGATGCTAGAAACAAGCAACCGTGGGAGGCTGTTGTTTCCATCCCCTGTGTACGCTTCTTGTTGACCACCTGCAAATGGAATGCTGGACTTGAAATCATTTCTTTACTGACCCCTTTTACTTCAGATATATGCACACCACACTTATTTAATGCCTGTGTGCTCCCACAAAGACATATTCCTATCTGCCAGCGGGCTGAGTGCATTTGGCCACAGTCCCTGAATTTAGCTTCTGAACGGGGATCATAAAGTGTATGTGTCCTCTGTAGTTCCGAAACAATGTTAGTGCTTGATCAGCGTAAGAGTAATAGCAAGATTATATGGACTGTAGTGTGTGTGCCTACATTTAAAATATTTATATTCCATGTTATAGTTAAGAACAACTCTCAAAGCAAATTGCAAAATAGTCTCAAAAATCAAATCATGGACTTATTTAGTACAGCAGAACTCGGCAAGCTCAGCCCAAAAACAGCCCAAAAACAGCCCTCATAGAGTCCCAGTCCAGTCCTCGGAGGTTCCCCAAAAGGCTATGCTTCTTTTTCTCTGGCCATGCAATCTTCCCCCAAACTGGTGATCATTTAGGTATTTTTCCCCATTTTTGCATGTTGATTCCCCCATCCCCATTGTTAAACATTTAAAATGACTCTCTTAAGACATAGTTGCTGGATGTAAGTGTTTTAAACTAAAATAGGGTAGCATTCTTGGGGTTTCAGTCTTGAGCCTTTTGCCTTTGGCCTCATCCAGCGCTAGAATTTTGTCCTGAGAGTCGTTTCAACATTGGAAGAGTTTCCCTGCCCATGTATTACAGGAGTAGGTCCCAGAGGGCAGTTAGGACAGTGTTTCCTCATATTTGCTCTTCCCTGGGCATCAGATCCCCCCAAAATCTCTGGAGGCAAGGGAACAGAGCTGAAGCTTGGTTTGCAAGGTTGCTGGTTTTGCGCCTATTAGACTAACCAATGTTATGAATGTACAAACACCAATTCTGACAAGTCCAGATCAACTGCATAACGTTTACTGAACAAGTTACTGAATTAGATTCCATAGTTCATTCTGGCATTTTGATTGCCCAAAGGCCCATCCCTGGTTTATGGAAACCATTACACATAACAGAAAAAAAGGCAAATTGGACCAAATGTTTTCAATATTTAGCATTATATGCGTGATGTTTTTTGCAGGGGGCTCCAGGCGAAGACGGACGACCAGGCCCAGCAGGTTCAATAGGAATTAGAGGCCAGCCGGGCAGCATGGGCCTCCCTGGGCCAAAAGGTGGTAGCGTAAGTATTATGTCTCTTGGTCATCGAAGTGGCTATGTTCAGCCTATACTAATAATCCAAGATAAATAATATATTTCTCTTTTTGGGGTGCAAATTAGGGGGATCCTGGAAAACCTGGAGAAGCAGGCAATGCTGGTGTCCCAGGGCAGAGAGTGAGTACTTTAATGTTTTTTAATTCCCTGAAGACAACAGTATTTCCTTATCCATGTGTGTTTATCAAACTTATCTTTTACGGTGTTGTTACAGGGAGCTCCTGGCAAGGATGGAGAAGTTGGCCCTGCTGGTTCTGTTGGTCCACATGTAAGTTACCAAGCAAGAATATCTGTCTGAGCTAGCTGGGGCTCCATAGCTAGCATCCTATATGAACGCTCTCCAAAAGTAAGAATGCAGGTGAAAAAAATACCGTTTCAGTCCGGATAGTTTCATTAAAAAAGGTGTGCAAGGACAATGGGACTGAAGAGGGACATACCTGCATAGATGTGGCGGAGGGTGAAGAGTAGGGAAGCCCATACAGGAACTGAGAGACAACATCAGCAGAACAAGGTGCACTTACTTCTGTCTTCAAAGGATCTCGACTTGAATTAAACTACAAGGAAGCTTCTGCATTACAAATATCCTGCAGTACAAGATATTAAGGATGCAGCCCTATACCTACTTGCATCTGGGATGGTCTTGTACCATAAAACAAGAAAGCTTTCTCCCCTCCTTTGAAATATTGTCAAAAAAGATGTGTTGGTTTTAAGTTCAGTATCAGGAGGACTGGGCCTTGCTACCGAGAGTCCAGATGTTTTACTTTGCTCTTGCTATTGACATGTAAACCATCTATTCAGAACAAGACCATTTTAAAGAAATCGTTCTCTGTCTGTTATTTTAACAACCAGTAAATGTTTGAAAGCATATGGATTAAAATGCTAGATAAATGAATAGAGCAGCGAGCCAAATTAACTTAAGGTTTAGCAATCTGTACTCTTGGCCAGCTTGTTTTCAAGTTCCGGGGAAATAAGGCATGAGAAACAATTAGCACTAATCTCTAAACGAGTAGCACTGCAATGCACACTGTGTGGGGCTGCTATTCAAGTGTCCAGAAGCTGCAGCTTGTGCAAAACGCAGCTGACAGATTAGTAGCAAGCGCCGGGAGGTCTGAAGGTAGAGCACCAATTCTGGCCAGCTTGCCTTGGCTGTCTGCATGCTTCCGAGGCCACTTCAGGGTGCAGGCATTAACCTACATGGCTTCATAGCGGACTGTGATTCCTGATGGAATGCCTTTCCCAGCTGTAATCCACCCAACAGTATGATCCGAATTCTGATTGTCACTTTGGTTGGGGGCAACAAGGAGAAGAGCCTTCTCAGTGGCAGCTCTCCAGTTATGGGGCAAGCTCCCCACGGAGCCCAGCCTGATGTCAACTTTAATATTGTTTAGGTGCCAGGTTAGCACCCTCCTCTGGCAGGGCATTGAATTAGTTCTAATATCACATTGAGGCATTATGTCAGCTGTTTAACAGATCTGATTATTTAATTTGCATCAGCTATTGTAACTTTTTAAATTTGGTTTTACATTTTACTTCTACATTTGGTACTGTATTTTTATGATTTTTAAAACTGTTATCTGTATTTTACATGGCTTGTTTATTGACTTTTATGTGCCATTATGAATCACGCAGACAGCTTAGGCTATTGGGCAGTATAGAAAAATAATTAAGGATTTATTTCATAAGCACATTCTGGAAAAGAATATGAAGTTATAGCTGACATGGCACTATAAAATGCAGTTCATTGTTTGCTTGCTTTAGGGACCAGCAGGAGAAAGAGGAGAACAAGGACCTCCAGGTCCTACAGGCTTCCAGGTGAGTGGTATTTTTCCAATTTATTTTCCACCAAACCCATCCCATCTTAAGGCTGCATCTTTTGTTGATTAAAAGAAACAAAATAAAATGTAGGTTCTTATAGTAAGATATCCTACAGCAGCCCCACACTTGCTTTTCCACAATCACTGTAAGTGCACACAAGCTTCAGTCTCCTGAAAAATCAATTAGTTGTCAGGGAGAGGGGGAATAAAGAAAAATATGGAAAAATGTGTCCAGGCACTATGAGGCTCAGCAATATTCAAGTCTTGCTTGTCTACAAGCTCTGTCGATACCTTTTCCACACGGAGATGGTGTGCAGGTGTGTGTATGTTGCCATCAGTGACCTAGAAGGACTGTGGACTGATCATAGGTCATGGAGTGAGACCTGGGGAAGAAGGCCCCCAAGCCATGCAGGACTTGCTGTTGCCAGTCAGTTCCAGAGTTTCTCCAACAAAGGGGCATCTTTTTTCTTTCCCTTAGAATCAAAATGGCCTCAGATATCCAGGGTGCCACTGAATTACACTCCCGTTAAAATGTGTTCTTGTTCATTAAAACTGGCATTCGCTGATGGATCAGCTGAACTTTTACAATGTTTGAACAGTGCAGTGCTTTTCTTCTCCTTGGCTTGGCCAAAATTTGAGCAAGTTTGGCAGTCAAATATTCAGTGGGGCTGATCTTCTTACCACCATTAGTCCTTGCAAGCATTTTCCTCATTCAGATGACCTGTGGCTTGCCCTTTTATAATACTGAGTAATATAAACCCTTTATAATCCAATTATGATATTGTGAATCTGTTCTTCAACTTCTGTGCTGACATTCTGCTTATTTCCTCCTTCAGGGCTTACCTGGCCCTCCAGGTCCTCCAGGGGAGGGAGGAAAGCCAGGCGACCAGGTAACCGCTTTATTACTTGGCCTTCACAAATTTTGTTTGTGCGATGGAGTGATTTTGATGTTTCACCTGTCTCTTATATTGCTCTGTTTCCCATATTTACAATGTGAACAACTGGGCCATGTCTCCATAGCTGCATTTCCAGAAGGAGCTGTCCCTCAGAGACCATTCATATTGTGGCTCAGCATGACCTTCCAAAAAGGTTGTGTGGGTGGTTTGTAAAATATGTAATTACGTTGGAGGCTTCCACATAAGAATCTTCTCACATCATTGCTCTGCCTCACCCAGGAAAATATTCTGGGAAGGGGCAGGGGAATGGTAGCGTCCAGATGTCCTTGTTTTCCATTCACTGTCTGTGTTTTTCCATTGCTTCTTTCCTTTTCCTTATTGTGGAAAGCCCATTAAGAACAGTTGGCTGGGTGCAGTAAGAAGCATGAAGATATCTTACAGCTTGGGCTGATCTTGTCGCATTCTCCTTGAATTGATCCCTTGTTATGTTTGATTGCACTCTGCATTTCCGGGGCAAAGTTGAGGCTGAGGCCTGCTGCCTCTTGCATTTGAGGAGCAATGCGTCTTGCCACTGTTCCTTGGGCTGCTTGGCTCATGGGAGTGGCACAGATGCAGCCTCATATACGGTACCAAAGGCAGAGAGGGTAAGGTACCCTTTGGGTGTAGCATTTTGTGATAATATGCATAGTGTTGCTGTATTGCAGAAGGCTTGCAGCTGCTTGGGTGAGCCTTTCCATTCCTTTGTCTCCCTTGATCCTAGAGGGGTGGCAAGTGTCTGCTGAAGAACCAGTGCAATTGGCTTTCTGCACGTGTCTGCAGGCCTTTACACATCACAGCAGCACGATGAGCTGAGGTCACAGAGTATCGGTTCCCATATTGCTGCTGCAGCATTCAAAAGGAACCTAAGTTGCCTGTGATTTGAGCAAGAGCAACTGGTTTCCAGCCCCCGCTCCCCATGGTTCACTTTAGAGCTATGGGCAGTATTCAGTGCCGTCGCAGTGCTAGTGTAAAGCAATGGCTAGGCACAATGTCATCAGCGCTGTTTAAGCGCAGGCGGGGTGGTGGGGGGAGCTTTGCTGCTGCTGAATTTCAGTGACCAACTGACGCATCCCCTGTTTGCTTAGCACGTGCTAAAGACGTGCGACTGTGACAGTGTTTGCACTCGCACTGTGGCAGCCTTGGATGCTGCTGCGCACTTGTGGCGACTAATAAAGATCAGTGAAAGGAAAGAGCTCCTCTGATGCCTTGTATCTAGAACATCTAGTAGTTAAGAATGATTTCCTTTTTAAAATTCCCACAGGGTGTTCCTGGTGATGCTGGAGCTCCAGGTCCTTTAGGCCCAAGGGTAAGTTTTGTCCTTTCATAATGCCATGTTATAGCAAATGTCCAGTATATTGTTTATATCTAAAACTGGGAGACAAACAATAGGAAACCAGTGAGAGCAGTGTGCTACAGAAATCTCAAAATGACCCATTTCACACTTCACAAGCTGAATGTCACTTTGAAGTACAGCTTTGGATACTGTTTTGTTTCCTTCTTCCAGTGTGACATGACAGGCAAAAACCCCGTTTGGCTTACTAGAATTTTAAGGCTTCATGACCATGAACCTTTTATTGTTCATTTCAGTGCTACACTAGTCAGTTCCAGATCTTGGAAAACTTCTATTTTCCAATAGACTCCATCAACTTGCCTGCATGTTTCCCCTGTGCAGACACATTTCTATGCCACTGGGGCTCATTGTTGTGTTCAAGGTGCTCTCCCATTCAGGGACTGGCTGTGCATCTGCAGTCACCAAATAGTTTCTAATTTTCCTTTTTGTAGGGTGAACGGGGCAATCCAGGTGAACGAGGAAACCCAGGAGCACCCGGTATTCAAGGAGAAAAAGGCATGGCTGGGGGTCAAGGCCCTGATGGTCCAAAGGCAAGTATAATATACATATAATGACAAAGAAAGCAAGAGAGAATATAATCATGGAAAAACACTAACGAATCTTATGGAACCTTAAAGCAGCTTATTCCCCTTATTCCATCTTATTCCCCTTCATATCTTCAGATACACACAGAGTTCAGCTCATGGAAACAAAACTGATATCAAATTAGTATGATTAAACCTATTTCGTATGCTTTGTAAAATGCAGAAAGATGTTGGTCAAAGGATAGTCTTGTCTGAATTCAGTACGAATGTCAGTTCAGAATAAAAATGAAATATTAAGGGCCTGTTTAATTTTTTAAGGGTATAGTCCATTCATATAGCTACACTGTGACAGCTTGTAGTTGAAAGACAGCTTTGATATTGCCCAATTAGCCAGTATCAGCAGATTTGCAAAGAAAGCTACAAATGTGCTAGTTTTTTTTCTCCACTTGTTTGTCATGTGTACCTCTGTTGTTAACTGTGGTATATTTCTGGCTTAAGAGGAATAAAAAAGCTGACTCTTCTGCTTTGCATGAACTTCCCTGTTCATTTACCAAAGGCAATCCGTGCTCACCACAGGCAATTGTGTGAAATGATTGCTTACTAGGGATGCCCACACATTTTGTTCCGTCCACTTTTTAAAGCAAATCATCCTGTTTTCCACTTCCACATCAGCTTTGCACTCTGCCTAACCCTTTGTTGCACATCGTACCAACAAATGTACTTTCCAGAATTAGAAGAAATGCATATTCTGGAAAACCATGTTAAAATCATACATTTAGAATGATAACGATTGCAAATGGATGCAGAAACAGGATAAAACAGATTTATGAATGGATGTAAAACTGACAGCCCAGAAGTAGACTTATCCATCCATCCCTAGTGTCTACAACCCTGAAATAAAAACAGTCGTGAGAATACAAGCACATTTAATACCATAGTAAATGCCATTTAATGTCATAGTTAATGTCATTTGATACCATAGTCAATGCCATTCATAATTGGCTACAAATGTCAGTAATTAGTGACAGATTAGTTACCTTGGGAAAGTGACAGATTAGTTACCTGACTTTGTATCGGTCAAGAGTTGGGTAAGTCACTGAAGAACAGAATTGGTCACATTCGTAGAGCTGCGTGATAGAATTCATTTTATATGACTTTATAATACCAAACACATCTCAGTGGCCATATACTGAGGCCTGCTGCTTATGTATATCAGGCAGCTGTACAGCCAAGATTTTTTTTCTCCCAGTGCCTGGCAAGTTGCCATTGGCAGCTGGTGGACTGCATTCTTGGCCAGTCACTGTTCTGCTTGGTGGGTCATAAGCCGAGACTTGATGTAGCTCTAAGGAAAACTGGGCAAACTGGGGCAGATTCCTCACATGGACATTGAAATAAGGAGAATCCATGAAGTGTTAATCTGAATATACTAATAACAAAGTGGTATCCAGCTGTGCCCCGCACTGGCACAAACGACACTGCCCTACAAACCAATGCTTGTGTAACTAGCATTCAGTAGTACAATGGGGAAAAGTGATTTCCTACCAAATTTGGTGAACCACCAAATACCGGTGGCAAATGGCCACTTTTCTCCATTGCCCCAGCAGGTGCTGGTTCCATTCCGCAAGCACTGGCTCATTATTAATGCTACTGCTGAAGCAAAGTACTCAGCCAAAATACGTTTTGTGTTCCCCCCACCCCACAGTTGCTTCAGATATTAGACTACTTTTAACTTACTGTTCATGAGTGAAGAAAATTCTTTTTCCTGTCTATTAATTTCAGGGCAACCCAGGCCCTTCTGGAACCGCAGGGGATCAAGGACCTCCAGGTCTTCAAGGGATGCCAGGAGAGAGGGGCATTGCTGGAACTCCTGGTCCTAAAGGCGACAGGGTAAGGCTTCCATCCCTGAGATTCTTCCTTTAAATTTGAAAGGGAGGAAATGGGTTTCTCGACAAGATTCTGTAGATATTTATGGTCCTCTGCAAATAATTTGATCATTTGTTTTTTTCTTTTTAGGGCAGTGTAGGAGAAAAGGGAAGTGAAGGCACAGCTGGCAATGATGGAGCAAGGGTAAATTAATTTAATGACTCTCTTAATTTTTTTTACTGAATGAATTTGGAACTGCTATTTGCTTGCTAATACAGTTGGGAATTAATAATGATAAAACTATTACACATATTAATATATGGTTTGATATCAGGAATGATTAAAGACAAGATATATCAAGAATGATTAAAGACAAGATCTTGCATTTCTGACCTCTTATACTCATTTTAATTTTAGGAGTTAATCTGCCATTTGAAGGTGCCCATCATAATTGCACCAAATTCCACTGATACAACATTAGTCTGATTCATCAGGACTTGTTAAGTGCTAGTTCAGTGCACCAGTTTAGGGATACTGAAGCGCACCAAAACTAGTGTTTGCAGTGTGCCTTTCTTTATTTTGAACTGTGTGATTAGTGAAGAAAGAATTACAGAATTAAAGACGAGTAAAAGGAAGCAAAAATGTTGTTGTTGTTCAGTCGCAAAGTCGTGCCCAATCCTTCACGACTCCATGAACAATATTCCTCCAGGTTCTCCTGTCCTCTACCATCACTCAGAGTACACCCAGGCCCACATCCACCTCTCCAGTGACCCCATCCAGCCACCTCAACCTCTGCCATCCCCTTCTCCTTTTGCCTTCAATCGTTCCCAGCATCAGGGTCTTTTCCAATGAGTCCTTCCTTCTCATTCAGTGGCCAGAGTATTTGAGCCTCAGCTTTAGTACCTGACCTTCTAAAGAGCAGTCTGGGTTGATTTTCTTTAGGACTGAAAGCAAAAATACTAGGTTGTATAATATAAGAGTGCAAGTCCTATGCATGTTTAGACAAAAAGACTCGTACAACTCTCTGTAAATGTGGCATTCTGACGATTTATCTGACTTTTTTCTTCAACAGGGTCTCCCAGGTCCGTTGGGTCCAGGTGGCCCTGCAGGTCCTGCTGGTGAAAAGGTAAAAGAACTTTGGGCACAATGCCAAGTGTTGTGTCGGTGGGGGGTGTCTTTACTTTTTCCATTTGGATTCATGCATGATATCATATTATCACTTTTTTATTCCATAAAGGGTGAACCTGGCCCTCGAGGTTTAGTTGGCCCTGCAGGCTCTCGTGGAAACCCTGTAAGTGAAGTACCCTGCCATTATCATCTTTGTAAATACTATGTATATCCATATTTTCAGTTTTTTAGTGTGTGGTGCACTAGTTTTTCATTACTCTTTCCTTCCAATGGGTTTGACTTTTCCCCTCTCGCTTTCCCTCCCTTTCTTGAAATTTGTAAAGCAGGATGAAGTTTGCAAAACTGTTTATTGACTACAATAGGCAGAGCAACCCTATGTCCCCTGGACTGCAGCTAGATCATAAATCCCAACTCTGACTTAGAACATTTCTTAAAAAAAAGTGTTTATTATTTTCTACAAATAAAACAAATAATAATTCAAAAGACATCGGACATACTGGGTTATTATCTTATTTTCTCTACAATTAATATATATTTCAGCCCTAAGTATAATCCCGCTTCTCCAGCCATTGATAAAAGAAGTCCCAGGTTTGGCAGTAATCTGACTTAGGACATTTCTGTGAAGTTGGAGCTGCTGGGTTTCCACACTCCTTTCTTGCAGCCGGTACTGAAAGAATCATGTCAACTGCTTCTTTACATTAGCAAAAATGACTTTGCAGAAGGGGTTTGATAGCCATTCTGGGGAGGCAGGGAGGGGAGGAGACAGACTTTGCCCAGCAAAAACTAATTGTGGCGTTGCTTCAGCCTCCTTCTCTCCGCAGCTGAAGTGTTGCAGTGAGGCAGCCAAAACCAGCCATCTAAATGTTTTGCAGAGTGTAAGGAATGTGGAGGCAACCTGTGCCTCCATGCTGCCACGGATGCTTGTAATCCTCTTGAGGACTAAAGGACTGGATGCAACGATTGCTAGAGCAGTCAAACGAGTACACATTTCCTGGCCTCTGTATATGAATGTTATGCAAACAACATTTACTTGCCATAGAGCTCTTATGGATCTTAAAAACAATTAGACAATTTGCTGTGATTTAGCAGCTTCATCACTGGCCTTTAATCTTTCACTGAGAGAAGTATTCACTAATGGGTACTCAAATTTCTGTTTATAACTGCTTTATTGGGTTTTCTTTGGAAACAGCAGCAGCAGCAACAACAATAATAACTTTTAATGTCTAAAATGATGTTAACGATCTTTGCTCATGATTGCCAGCCTGTGAAATCCAACAATTTTTCAAGATTAATGCTAAGTTTTATTTATTTGTTTGTGTTGGATGCAGCTGTATTAACCTTCTCCAGTAGTGGCACCCAAGATGTTGTACACACCAATAGCGTTAAGATCTCAATTTGGATTGTCATGATATTTGAAACCTGGGATAGAGTGGGGAGAAACACTTTGTTAATGTTGTGTTTGTTGTTGTGTTTTATTACTGTGCTCTTTATTTTCTGAATTACCACTTGGCTTTTTTACTGTTTTATGAAGTGTCTAGGCAATGACAATGAACAGAAAGGATGTGGCAGCATCACTATTCTAGGCTACAAGAGATGTGGTGTGAGACTTTAATTGGGTGAAGTAAAGATTAGGTAGACATCTGAGAACTATTCCCCCCTTATGGACAGAATTTCGGTTGTCCTATCAATCTTGCCCCTAGCTTGGAGGTGCTGCTTGTAAATGTCAGGCCAGTCCATAAGAAAACTCTCAGTCATTACTTGATCAAGGATGAAAGGGCTGACCTCACATGCATCAGTGAACCTTGTCAAGAGGTACCAGGAGCGGACTTCTCCCGGCTCTGTTCACCTGGATATATACTGCTGCATCAACGTGGGCTGGAGGTGTGGGAGCAAGCCGTTGCCATCATCTGTAAGGTGTTTGTTTCTGGGTTTGTGCAGGAGAAATAGAATCATATAGTACTCTATAGAAATAGAAGAGTGCTCTGTTGGCTTACTGACCGCCCTGCTGCCTGTTAGTCTCCTGGCCCAAGCTTACTGCTAATATCCCCTTCTTGGGACAAGATACTGCGGACAGCAGTGGTGACTCAACTTCAAATGCTTTTAGGTTATCTAGACCGATTTCATTCTAGCCTTGGGTTTGGGTTTGGTACTGAAAATTGCTTTGATCAACTCTGACATACGACCTCTGTTGTGGGGGAGGCAGGGGGATGTAACCTTGTTAATATTATTGGCAGTAGCATCTTACTGGAGCTACTCTGTGGCTGTGTGTTGGAAAGACAGTAATATGATGGTTCCTCTCCTACCTACCTGCAAGATCAGTTTAAGAAAGTGGCATTGTTGTTGTATTTTTGGCTTGACCCTGTGGCACTGGAGCTGTAGGTGCCAGCAGGAATGAATCTTATGCTCTTTACCTCTACATGAAGCTGCTGCAGGAGGTCATCAGGGTATTTGGGATGAAGTACTTGCAATACACTGGTAACCTGCAGCTCTATCTCTCCTTGCCCATTTAGTCAGCTGAGGCTTTCCAGGCACTGAACTAATGTCTGGAGTTAGTAATGGGTTCACATGAGACCCAGTAAATTGCAACTTGAGTCCTGACAAGATGAAGGTTGTGTGGACAAGTTCTCATGTCCAGAACCTGGGTGCACAGCCTGTTATAAATGGGCTTGCATTGTCCTGGAACAGGAGGTATACAGCTTGGGGTTACTTCTTGACCCAGCATTGCCATTTATGGCTCCGGTTGGCTTGGATTGCCTTTCACTTGCTTGGGCTGGCTGGCCAGCTCTCACCATTGGAGGGCTGGGACAGTCATATTCCTAGTTATGCACTGTGTTTCATGTGAGATGGACACTGATGACAACTCAGAAGCTGCAACTAGTGCAGAATGTAGTGATGAGAACTGTAACCAGGATTGTTTTACACCAGTTCTGAATGAGTTGCACTAGAAATGTAGTTACTCCCAAGCCAAATTCCAGGCACTGGTGCTTACCTTTAAAGCCCTAACATGCTTGGGCGCCAGAGACGCAAGTAATTGGACGGCATACAAATTCTGTAGATAAATAAATGAATAAAATAATGGCAGCTGTGTGGCTTTCTATACCAGCCTGCCCGTGGTTTAAGATGATCAGAGAGGGTCTTCTTTCAGACCTTGGGCAGAGTCTGTGTCAACAAAGGAGGAGGTTGGTTCTTGGTTGGGGCACCCAACCAAAACACCCTCCAGATGGAGAAGTGTCTGCTACTAACACAGCAGTTAATCTGCTGCTAGCTCAAACCCTTCTTGTTTACCCCGGTGTTTTAGGTGGCATTTGAGCTGCTTTCACTGTGTGTCAATAGTCTTTGTTTTACAGTGGTGAAGTGTTTCTAGTGTTTTTATTTAATTATATTCATACTCTGCTCTGGTAGTACCATAAGCATGTGGCTTGTTAAGGGTTTTTTTTTTTTTGCCGGGGGGGCGGGTTGTCTCTTAAGCTGCCGAGAACTATAATTTGCCTGGGACAGCATGGGGATAGTGGTGCAAGTCTATATTAGGAAACTTAAATTTCTTAGGAAAGCTATGGCAGGTATGCCACACACGCGGCTTAATTTCCAGCAGATCATTACTTGATGCATTCATGTTTTCCTCATGTTATTACAGTATAGAAACATATATTTTGTGAAGCCCTGAATATCCCTTTTTGAAATCCCTTTCTTTTTTTTTCTCTTCAGGGTTCCCGTGGTGAAAATGGTCCAACTGGCCCTGTTGGTTTTGCTGGTCCACCGGTATATGAGTTTTGTTACATCTAAGACGTTTAATCAGTACCTGAAATTACTTCCACGTTTCTGTAATAAGATGCTAAGCTGTGTTTAACAATTCTTACACCATGAGTCTGGAATGAGATATGCCGGCATTTTTAAAATAACTCTCATATCAGTAGTAAATGCAGGTTTGCTGATAATAGGCTTTTTCAGATTTGCTTGACTCCATTTTTATATTATGTATTTACTTTGACTTAAGGGGAGATACATAATGCTGTTCCTTGGCCATGCAGTACAAATTCATATCAGTGTTCCTAAGTCGGTGAAAGAGCTGGATCCAAATAGTGATCTTGGAGCTAAATTTTAATTGGCTTGTGAGATGATTGAATGGCACAGATTTGTGCTCCTAAACATTGTACCATCCATCAAGGTTAGCTGAAGTAGTTGGCAGAACTTTGTTATAAAGTTAGCTGTAGGATGTATTGATGTCACATTGGGAAGCTTTAAAGTTCTTTGACTTGATATGTCTTTGTTAATATATATATATAGGGCCCTGATGGTCAACCAGGTGTGAAAGGTGAACCTGGAGAACCCGGCCAGAAAGGAGATGCTGGATCCCCAGGACCCCAAGGCCTTGCAGGCTCTCATGGTCCACCAGTAAGTAAAAGCAGCACTACAGGACAGCACTGGTCTGTATCCATTTCAACGACTGAATGTTAAGTTCTTTTTCTTCTCTCCACTCAGGGTCCTTCTGGGGTTCCGGGACTAAAAGGTGGTCGTGGTACTAAAGGCCCTCCTGTGAGTAGATTCATTACCTAGGAATCAAGTGTCACCTAAAGCTTTCAGGCTATTGCTCTATCTACTTTGTTTTATCCTGATGGCAGCATCAAGCTTTTATCTAGTATCAGTCTGGATTTCAGACATGATGATTGCATTGAATGAACAATATCAGGATGTTTCTTTACAGCCACAGTGCAAAACTTTCACCAAGTCCCATGCATGCTTATTTATTTCTAGGGTGCTACTGGTTTTCCTGGATCTGCTGGAAGAGTTGGACCTCCAGGACCCACTGTAAGTTGGATGATTATTCTGATGCTTACATAAGCAGCTTATTAATAAACATGCAATCAACATTAATAAAACTGATGATCAAGTTATTGTAGTATCCATAGTCTGATCAAATCCTATTATTTCCATTTAAGAAAGAGATCATTACAGCAGGTTTCTCTGTCCCTGCTCAGGTTGTGACCTTGGCCAGTCACAGTCTCTTAGATTAACATACATGATTGTCCTGGAGATAAAAGCATGGAGAGATGATACAGCATGTATGCTGCTCCCAGTTACTTTGGAACAACATTTTAAAAATCTAGGGTTGGATCCAAACTTAGCCATACTTAGAGCAGACCCACTGAATTCTAGGGGTTTAATTTAGTTATGACGAGCTTAAGTTCTGTTAATTTTAGTGGATCTATTCCAGGTAAGATTAAATCATATTCCAATTCAAGATAAATATTATGACTGGGGCAAAGGCAACATGTTACGTTTCTTGTTCCTGACTGGAGCAGTGAAATTATTAAGAGCAAAGAAAAGAACCTTTGTCACAATTATCCCAAAGGCTTTCTTCCTGCCGTCTGTATCTTGCTTAGTCATCTGTCGGTGGAGGAAATACTGAAAATGATATGCTGTTCCATAGGTAAACGAATCCTTATTTTGGAAGCAGGGAATAAATATTTGTGTGTTGAAGGATACATGGCATTTCCTTAAGCAATTCAAGAAAACAAAAACCAGTGCTGAGGTCATGCATAGAATTTGAAAGTTGCCGAATGGGTTCTTCTCATATTCCAATAAAAGTGTGCTTTTAGACTGTGGCCCCTCCCATGGTACTTCAGGTTAAAGTGGTAGTGGTGGTGTGTGGGGGGATAAATTTAAATGCTCTCTTCATTGTGACCTGATTAGGCCTCAAGACATGGTCTAAAGGCACATGGTTGATTATTTGATAGGAGAGTAGGCTAGTCTGAATGCTGAAAATGAATAATTAAGCCTTGTTGAAGCTATTCAGGCTGTTGGTGCCTGCAAGTAAGACTGCCCGAGAAAGGATCATTAGTATCCTGATTTCTAAGGAGCAAACACAAGCTATAATTGTAACGAGCAAAACTGGCCAACCAACCAGCCTGTCTTCCATTGGATGGTAGTCCTGTTCTAATTAGCAATGGTGTTTCTAGGGAGCCCTTGGTCCAGCTGGGCCCATTGGTGAGCCAGGCAAAGAAGGACCTCCAGGTCTGCGTGGAGATCCTGGAGCACATGGTCGAGTCGGAGATCGAGGGCCGGCAGGACCACCTGGCAGCGCTGGAGACAAAGGAGACTCGGGAGAAGATGGACAACCTGTAATTCGGAGTGGAAGTGGGGAGGGAGGGCTTCCTTTTTGCAAAAGATGTAACAAAGCCTTCCTTTCTGAAACGTTTTTGGTGTGGTCGTTGAAAGATCAGATCATTTGGTTTCCTCAAACACAATTAACACCGGGAACCATTTCATAAGCACAGTAAAATTGTCTCCCATTCAGGACTTGCAAGACAGTCATCAATTCCCCTTTACCGCAACTGTCCCATTCTTTGTCATGGATGCTGATTTTCTCTTCTGACTCCACTAATGGCCCATTCCCTCAATAGCCAACACACTCTTTTCTTTTCCGTTCTCTCTTCCAGTTCCCTTTCCCATCATCCTGGCTAACATACCCTGCATCCCAGCCTTGCTTATATGTCATGGGCACTCCTCCCTTGGGCCTCATAGATCGTGCTCACGCCCCTTTCTTGTTTCCTAGAAGGGCTATTTTGGTCCCAGCAAGTGCTTGAGAAGGAGTCAAGGGAAGCCTTGATGGCACCCATAGGACAAATCCTCACTGTGTTATGCTTTGCCTTCAAACTTTCCAGGGTCCTGATGGCCCACCAGGTCCTGCTGGGACTACTGGCCAGAGAGGCATTGTTGGTATGCCAGGTCAGCGTGGAGAAAGGGGCATGCCTGGACTACCTGGTCCTGCTGTAAGTATGGCTAGAATTACTGTTTTGCAATGTGGACTCAGTTTCTTCTTTGCAGCTTGTGAGATTCCGACTATGTAGAATGGCTCTTAATGCTACATTATTCCCTGCCTGGATTGACCCTCAGTGCTAAGCCATTTCTGTCTATGTTCCCGGGTGTGGTTTTAGTGCTCTTAAATGCTGACCTTCTATTTCTTTTCATGCCAGGGAACACCAGGAAAAGCAGGTCCAACGGGGTCGCAGGGGGAGAAAGGTCCTTCAGGGCCCATAGGCCCCCCAGGTGCCCCTGGACCAGTGGGTGAAGCAGGCCCAGAAGTAAGTGGCTTCTTCTAAGCAATATGGTTATAAGAATCTATTAGCAGTGTTGCACCTGAGTATAACAAATAATTGCTATGTTTGCGTAGCCGAACTCACAGGAGCTTATCTAGATCTGTTTGCTTGATTCAGAAGTTTTCTACCCCATCCTACTCGTATCAGCCAAAAGTCTCTCAGACCAGCTAACATATAAATTAAAAGAGTAGCATGGTGTAGTGGTTGAGACCACAGGTCTGGGACTTGGGTGACTTCTAGTTCCCGCTTGGCCATGGGGCCCACTGGGTGACTTGGTACCAGTCACAGATGCTCAACCCAGCCTACCTCTCAGAGTTGTTGCTGTGGGGATCAGACTGAGAGCAGCAGGGGGAGAAAGTTGTTGTTGTTAGTCATGAAGTCGTGTCCGACCCATCGCGACCCCATGGACAACATTCCTCCAGGCCTTCCTATCCTCCACTGTCCCCTGAGTCCACTTAAGCTCACACCAACTGCCTCAGTGACTCCATGTAGCCACCTCATCCTCTGCCGTCCCCTTCTTTTGCCATCTATTGTTCCCAGCATTAGGCTCTTCTCCAGGGAGTCCTTCCTTCTCATTAGGTGGCCAAAGTATTTGAGTTTCATCTTCAGGATCTGGCCTTCTGAAGAGCAGTCAGGGTTGATCTCCTCTAGGACTGACCAGTTTGATTGCCTTGTGGTCCAAGGGAATCGCAGGAGTCTTCTCCAGCACCACAATTCAGAGGCCTCAATTCTTCGGCGCTCAGCCTTCCTTATGGTCTAGCTTTCACAGCCATACATTGTAGCTGGGAAAACCATAGCCTTGACTATATGCACTTTTGTTGGCAGGGTGATGTCTCTGCTTTTTAGTATGCAGTCTAGATTTGCCCTAGCTTTCCTCCCCAGGAGCAAGCGTCTTTTAATTTCTTGGCTGCAGTCCCCATCTGCGGTGATCTTAGAACCCAGGAAAATAAAATCTGTCACTACCTCCATTTCTTCCCCATCTATTTGCCAGGAAGTGAGAGGACCAGATGCCATGATCTTAGTTTTCTTAATGCTGAGTTTCAAGCCAACTTTTGCACTCTCCTCCTTCACCCACTTCAAGAGGCTCTTTAGTTCCTCTTCACTTTCTGCCAAATAGATGGGGAAGAAAT